TATTAATATGAAAACAACTATTTAAAAAAAGCCCCTGGGATGTGACAGGGAAAAACATGAATGAACAGTCAGCAGTCAACGTGTGGCTTCTGCCTTCACGGACATACTCATTATGAACAGCATTTGGTGGCAAACATATCTAACTCGCGTAATATTAATTTTAAATATTGCTCTCAAAATACATATTTCAAAACATAATACAATGTGTGTATGTATCTGTGCCTGTGTAGTCATAATATATGCCTCAACAATAAAGAGCTTTTTCTGTGCTGTTGTGTCTATTCCGGAAAATCCCTAAATGATTTAAATGTCAGTCACTGCAACCTTTTCAAACTTTTCCACAGTGCATGAATTTTGCTGCAGTCTTTCAGCATTCAGTCACTTTATTGTATTGTTCCCAGCATAAATACTGAGACAATGGTTATTTTTAGACTCCAGCAGGTTTACAGATATTTGCAACCTATGAGATCCATAAAGCATTCAAGAAAAAAAATCATACTAAAATCTGAACGCAAGTTTTCCACAGCAAAAATTCCTCAGGACTTTGGTTTTGACTGCCATCCCATAGTAGAGGAGGGCATCATCTGGGTCTCCAGAAGTGAGAGGTTCCACAATGGGAGCGATGAATAATGGGAGAAAGCAGAAAATGCTGGGCTCTAATACAAACCTGGCCCTCATCTCAACAGGAACAAGAATGCTCTGTGTTTTTTAACCATTGTATTAAATTTTTTTTCAATTAAAAAATAAAATAAAATTAGTAAATCATTCTGGACTTTTTGCATGAAACAGGAAAAAATAAAATTATATGGATTTGATCCATATCAAAAAATAGTATATAATAGAAAAAAAGAAAGGTATGATGCTTAATGCCAATTTATACCTATATCTGTGGTAAAAGAAAAAAGAAGTCATTTCTTTGTATTTCTTTTCCTCTCTGCACTTTTGACTTTCTTTTTTAGTCTTCCTTTTCTTCTCTTTTCTATCTTAATTATTAGTTTTTGTTAGATTTTTTTTATATTTTTATTTAAAAACAGGGATCCTCTAGGAAACACAGCACAGGTTACAGATTCTGCTCTGCATCACAGGACCAAGATTGGGTGGGTAGGGGGCTTAGAATGGCACAGATCACCACATAATAATTTGAGGAATTTTTTTCTGAAATATTTTTCTCTAGAACTCCCATCAGATCTGGTCCATTTAAAAATGTGATGATTCTTTTGTTCATTTTCTCTGCACCCCAAACCAAATCCATTCAGTTACTCTTTTTGTAGATTAATAGATTGACTGGGTCTCCAACCCCTTAATTTCTTTCCATCATTTCATTGGGTTAGAAAGAATAAAGGGAAACTTGGGAGAAAAGAGGGGTTCCCAACCTGAGATTCTGAACTGGGGTCAGGAAAGATTTGGCCCTCCAGAGATTGTTGGACTAAAACCGTCAGCATTCTTACCTTAGCGATCCTTCCAGAAATTTTCATTCAGCAACTTCCTGAGAGCTCATCTGTAGATTTGAGAACCTCTGTCAAGGAGAAAATATGCCAGTGTGGAGGAAGAAATTGCCTGATTTTCAGCAATTTCCTCTGAGCAGAAAATCTGTCTCTGACTCTTCTGTATCTAATGTTGTCAAACCTTAGTAAGATACAAGAGAGTTTCTGCCTGTTTCTCTGGAAAGCAACTTGGGAATGTATTATGGTTTAGCGCCCATCATTTCCAATCAATATCCTGATGGGAATTATGGGAGTTGATGAAAGTCCAAAATTCTAGGGAGCATCAGTTTAGAACAAGACTGGTTGAAACAAAAGCCGTATTTTTTTAAAAAAAACAAGATATGACTAGTATTCACGTACATACTATTGTGTGGTTTCTTAGCTTGGATACTGCAGTGTTGCCCGGAAGTCCTTTGTGTAATTTATTTAGTTCAAATGACTTATATTTATAAGTCTTTCTTACAGTTGCTATAGTTTCCGTTACATTCACCCCCAGCTAATTTTCCTTTATCTCCATCACTACAATTTTAGTTTGATTTCTTTTTAGTTGTAATTTGTGTCACTCCAGACCGGTATGGACTAAAAATCCCCATTAAGCCAATGACAGCAGAAAAAGCATTAGAACAGTAAAACAGAAAAACCATTAAAACAGTAATTTCAGGCAGCCATAATGAGAAAGGGCAACACTCTTGCCCATTCATTGACCAAACCTAGTGAAGTTAAAGGGACGAATTTCTTCTAATTAAAACAATGTCACTTGAGATTTATATATCATTATAAGCTGCAGCAAAGTAACATATTGCAACTGCACCTCCTTTGTTAAGTAGTTGAGAACCTAAAGGAAGGATCTGCTTCTTTTTAAAGATATTTTTTTCAAATAAAATAATCAAAACTACCAACATTTGTTAAAGAGAGTAACGCAGAGATATATTGTTTTTCTGCTGTAAGCTAAACTGCAATCCTTAACAGTTGCTATGAAATTTAAGAAAGTAATTTTAATTTTAAAAATCACACATTTAATTATTGGTTTCCAGCCCAATATCTACTTCAGCCCAAACTTACTTTTAATAGACATACTGTGACATTATCAACAGCTATAAGAACATTAATTCTTGGCTCAACATTTACTCGTTATAATATTAGATATATTGTTTCTCAGCTGAACTTCATTATCTCTATAAAATAGAATTAATTGTAAACCAAGAACAAAGGAGAGAACAGGAGTGAAAAATTCTAAACACATGGAATAAATGTTTAATAATTCTAAATGATACCATATGTTTAAAAAAATTGGGTATGTTTTATGAAAACCTTGAAAGTGCAACCCCATGCAAATAAGGAAATATTGTTCTTGGCAGTTAATAATATTAAACATTGTTCTATAATGTTTCACAATAAAAAAAACTAGTAGATATTTAAATTATTCCTTCCATTCTACACTGATTTAATTGTTCTCAAAATTGCACTAAAAATGCAAATAAAACTACTAAAGAAGTTAAAAAATTAAAAAAGAAAGCAAAGATTACTACTATTTGTACTAATAAGTGACTTGGATGCAATTCCAAAACTGGAGCACCATTTGAACACCATCGTTATTGACAAAAGCATCATCAATTACAAAAGACAGCTTAACCTGGAACAGCTTTCACCCTGTGTCATCTTTAATACCATCAAACATCAACATTAACTATCCCAGATCCTTGGAAAGGACTTCATGGATAAAAAATGCCAAATCCAGTCTAAATATCTGGCTGATTGTGCAAGCAACCATAATAATTAGGCCCAGACTCTAGATCTGGGATGTCAAACTCCCGGCCTGTGGTCAATTTCATCATACTGAAGCCGCGCCCACCCCATTGCCGGCAATGGCAAAACTGGCCCAATACGTTGCGCGATGTCATGTGACGTTGTGAATTTGACATGTCTGCTCTAGATGGTTCAGCACTCCTCCAGATGAGTTGGTATGCAATTTAATGGGCCCTCCTACACTCGTAGGTGGCAACCATGGCTAGGAAGCCTCTTTGCATAGATCTATCGGGTGCCAATTGGGCACCTTTCCTTGACTGGGAAGCCTTGCTCACAGTCACTGATGCCTTGGTCACCTGCCATCTGGATAACTGCAATGCACTCTACATGGGGCTGCCCTTAAACCAGAAAACTATAACCAGTCCAGAACATGGTGGTGTATATAGTGATGTGTGTTCCTAGGTTTATATACTGCCGTTGCGTGAGCTGCACTGGCTGCCAGTTTCCTTTTAGGTGCATTTGAAGATGCTGATTCAAGATGATCTTTAAAGGACCAGGTTATCTGTGGGACCACCTTTCCCTAAGGACTTGTCTTACCAGGCTACATAGAGTGGGCATGGTCCAAATGCCTTCCTTTAAACATTGCCACCTTATGGGAGCTATCGCAGGAAGCATGCCTTTTCCACCACAGCCCCTGCACTAGGGAACATTCCTCCTAAAGTTCAGCAGGCCTCTATCCTCTTAGCCTTCCGGAAAGCACTGGAAACTTGGCTTTTTTCCAAGCGCTGGGATAGGAAGAAGTAAACTGCATGTTGAAAACAGAACTTGGTGCAGGTTTTTGGTTTTTTATATTTATTATTTTATTGCCCATATCATTTTAATTCTTGATTAGACACCATATATAAATATTTTAAATAAATAAAATAAATAATAATATGAGATTTCATTAAATGTTCTCCATTATAAAATCAGGAAAACAATTATCTTTTTGAGTTTTCAGATTAAAGTATCTTTTATCATTAGAAGTAGAATAATTGCAGTGAGCCCTGCAAAGAAACTATTCTACCTGCATTGAATCAGTATTTAATAGTGTTCCCAACTCCATCAAAGAAATACTGATAGCTAACTCTTCCTATTATTCCTTTAGCAAGGGACTAAATTGGTAATCCAGAACATCTGGAGTACACAATTGATTTTTCAGAAGATGAAACAAAACAGAGTAATCCAAATCAACTGGGAGAAACTAGCAAAGACTGCCAAATCCAGTAAATAATTAGGCAGGTAAATTTTTTAGAACTGTTTTTACTTTTAACATGCAAGTACTTTATGTTCAACTTATTTATTGTAGTACTAGCTTTCCAAAAATATTTATGTGCATGTATTCTGAATAAATTATCATGCTGAAACTATCACTGGTATTTTAGAAAGATTTCAAAGATTTCATCTATCTGTTCTTTTCTATTTCTGATGTACAGAAAATGTGAGAGCAAAAAAGCATGCAACTTCTAGTAAAAAAAGAGCAGAGGGTCCTAAAAGAATTGTATGTTTCCTATGAGTCCTTATTTTCCTTGCAAATTACAATGCCAGGCCACTTTGTTCACAAAGGAAAACAACAAATGGATCTAAAAGAGGTAAGGTTGTTAAAACTGGAAAATTTATGAGCTACTGTACTGATTTCCTCATATGCTTTCAGAGCATTACTGCCAACTCAGCTACAGCAGGAGTGCAAAATCTGTCCATGGAACAAAAAACTGCCACATGAAAGAAAAGTGAGTCATCATTAGGACATTTATTACGACTTCTTCTGTTCAAGGTAAAAATTGTCTTTTGTTGGAAATGAACACAATGCACCATTCACAGTCTTGACACAAGATGACTTCAACTGCATTTAAAATTGAAAAAATTCTGGCTTGAACTGATTCCTCCTGTGAATACTTATGCTGCTTCATCATTCCTACGTGGCTCCTCCTCAAATGGGTGTGGCTAAACAAAACTGGAACTCCAACTAGGATGATTTAGCATTATGTTTGTTTAGCACTGATTGGGCCCTTTCTTCTAGCAAGTGAAAGAAATTAGTTAGAAAAAGATTATGCTTATGGGTTTTAAGAGAGAAGACAACAATTCTCTATTCTCATGTACTCATAGGACATTCTGATTTGTTTACCTGCTTCTACTGGCAGCAGGAACCAAATACCAACAAACTTTCCAGATTACGTACATTTAATGTTAAGTGGAAATCGGTGCAATATCTTGTAAACACAACCTGCATAATTTGTCATATGTAGCATAACAGGTCTCTATCATTTGCACACCGGTCTTTCTCTTCCCTATTGAGCCAAACCAAATTTGTCTCGGCTAGTTTATCTCTTTCCTGGGAGGAATACACTCTATAAATAACATTATTAATACTGATCTATAACTGTAGACATGGCCAAAGATCCTGCCAAAAAGGTGGTTATCACAATGTATGAACAATGACGCATGACATCATTGTAAAGCAAAAGTAAAGGCTATGGGTTATCTGTTTGGCAGTTCAGGTAAAAATTAAAGTAAAGTAAAATGAACCTAAAGTATATCAACAAAGAAGAGATGTCAGCTAATTCTTAATATATACCAGGGAGGGCAGAAAGGCTGCCAGGGATCTATTTCCATTTTGTTGCTGATGTCAAAAATCGACATCATTTTTACCTCCCTCCAAGTGCAAAAATACCTAGAGAATCAGAAAAGAGTATATAACTAATTTTTGACAACAAAACCTTAACCTTGGATTTTCATAACATCTGAAACTCACAAGATGTGATCCCTTGACATGTAGACGGTTGGAATTCCCAATCCATGTTAACTTTTCTAGAACCACATTCAAAATCAGAACCTGCCATGAATTATCACACATCTTTCTTCAACAATAAATAAATAAATAAACCAGATCCACCCATACAGATCACTTCAAGATCTCAACTGTACTTCTTGTCAACATAGACCTCACAGATGATGACAGTTTTGTGACATTTCTCATATGCACTATTAAAAAAAATCTTGGCATGAATATACATTGCTATATCTGCAAATAGCATAATGTTACACAAAAACCAATGACAAATATTAAAAGATTTGTTTTTCTAAAAAAGGAACAGAGTGGTTCTGGATTTCAAGAATGACAATTCTACAGCTTCAAGTTTGGAGTGTCACTGTGTTCCACTTCAATATCCTATACTGCAAACACACAACTAGTGTTCATAAAATATAAATTAAAGTAAGTTAAATCACTAGCCATTGAAATACACAAACATACAGTATTGGAACGACTAAGATAGTTGAAGAATTAATATTTTCCTCACAGTGGTATGAAGAAATTGCTGTAGATTTATATTGGTGTAAACCACAAACAAGAACAACAATGGTTCTGAAATTTCAAATAACAAAGTACAGAGCAAGTAGTCAAATCCTAATGTTTCTGATTTTGATGCAGCAATTGAGCTAATTGCATTTAATCTGCTGCTGGCTACAGTAAACATGCACAGATCAAAATTGTTTTTCATATTTCCACAAGTGATGGGTATAATGCCAAGAGCTGCCTTTGGAGACGTATATCTCCTTTTCCTTTTACCTTAATTCTTCCTGAATCATATCCCTCCAGGTGCAGTTGGAATGCAATTACCAGAATTCCTAGCCTTCCCAAAGGTTTCTGGAAATTCTGGGAGCTGTAGTCCTGATATATCAAGAGGGCAGCAGATAGAGAAAACGAAAACAGTTTTGCCTTATTACTGAATTCTAGCAAACATCACTATAGCCATAGCAACTGAATGCAGCATAAAAAGATCCCCAATATTTTTGGTCCAGATCTTACTGATAATCTTCGTATAAAGGCAGAATAAAAATCTACCCACATTCAAGAAAGTCATGATCTGATGTTAATCTGACAAATATAGCCTAATATTAAGGATGCAGTATGACTTATTTTAATTTCTCCCCATCCAATCTCATGTCTGACTAGCAAATGAAACTATGTCAACAAAAATAGGACACATGCATTCACTGTTAAAGTGCAGAACACCAAAACTAGACAAGGATTTCTCAGTTTCTATGGAATATTATAACCTCATTACATCACATTCTTATTTGTTCCCCTAAAAGTGCAAAAAGGAAAAAAAAAGGGAATATTGTCCAAAAGAAAACCACAAGCCTAAAAGGTTTCAAAATCCTCTAATATTTTATAATTAAAAATCTAAAATCCTTCATAAAGAGATGTCTCCAGGATTAAGTAGATCCAAACTCTGACATCCACTGCTCGTACTTCTCCAGATCTGCGGCTGAAACTGATTTGGAGATTTTCTTCAGAGCCAAGTCAAAGTCCCCCTTCATGACAGGCATCTGAAGGTCTTCTTTGGAGAGGGCTCGGATCTCTTCCGGTGACAAGCCATTAATGCGTCGCCTCATTGCCATCAATGAGGCATCCCTAAAAAATAAAATACATAAACACTACATATTAGCAATGATGTATAACAGTAAGGCTGAAATACCATTTTACCTATTTGTAACAGGGGTCTTTTTGCATTACCAACAATAATTCTACTACATTTCATTTCCTATATTTAAAAACAAACAGCATAAAAATTTGCATTTGTTTTCTTTAAAAGCATAAATTCTTGCATAACTTATCCCTTGAAATTTTCTACTTATCTTCCAAGCCCAAAAGAGGTCTGCAAAATTTGGATAAGTATACAGTCTGAAAGCTAAGGGCACAGCAGGTGGAGGGTTAGATTCTGTGGTCTAAATTAGAATTTATGAGTTGAAGTTTGTGTATCTTAAAGCTGCTAAATTTAAGAAACACTGATCTAAATAGTCTCTTCCCCTATGATTTCATAATCCTTCACAGACAAGGTTGGCTTTACTCATCTTCAGCAACTAAAGATGATACAATACTAAGGATGAAAATCACCAATAATTCTAGCAAATGGGCAGATGTAAAAAAAGCTATAAAGCAATTGTTTTGTTACAATTTATAGAGATATTCAAGCAATTATTTCGATTAAGAACTAAAAGGCAGTTTAAATTCATCACTGGACTTATTCTGCATTACACTATGCAAAAAGATGACAATCTGGTTGAAAAACCAATTCAGTACATATATACATAGCTAGATACAGATAGATGAAATATGATTTAAATATTAAATATTTAAATATTAAAAGAAACTTTTTGCACCTCCTTCTGGGCATCATATCTTTCTCAGCAATTGCTTTACATCATAAAGCTGTATGTCAAAGAAAAAGGTCAAAGATGATGCAAAATGGAGAAGGTAACTTATCAAAAGAACAAAACAGCCCAAAGACCAGCTTTATACGTAAGCTGATCCATCAGATTACACTCCTTCAAACAGTTTTAGGGCTATTATGCCACTCTAAAAGGCTTCTTTCTACTGCCACAAACACTGCCACTTGCATATGGCAATTTTTCTTCTATATAAAATTAAGCTGTACTACAGAACAGTATTTCTCAACCTTAGCAATTTTGAGATGTGTGAACTTCAATTGACTGCAAGCTGGATGAAGAATTCTGGGAATTGAAATCCACACATTTTAACATTGCTAAAGTTGAGAAACACTTCTATAGACAGAATTAAAGTTCAGCCAGGCAATCTTCCCAGCACTACAGACTTAGTAGATACTTGACCCATTCCTCAAATATATGCAAGCCAAATTGCAATGTTGGCACATCAAATATCGTGGCTGCTGTGACCTCTGCCTACTCACAAAATGAGTGAGGACAATGAGGATGACAAATCATAAGCCATAATGGAAGAGATTTGCTCTCCATCTTCTCCTCTGGCACTTTCACTTAGATCAGTGGTTCTCAACCTGTGGGTCGGGACCCCATTTGGGGTCGAACGACCATTTCATGGGGGTCGCCAAACAAGGCTGTCTGCCATTTTTCCCCCTTTTCTTTGGCCACGCCCCTGGCACCCGATGATGTATAAGTGGTTGGGGGTCACCACAACATGGGGAACTGTATTATGGGGTCACGGCATTAGAAAGGTTGAGAACCACTAACCTAGATGTTCAATATAACTCCATTTTAACTTTGTTTTCTGTCCATGTGGGAACATTTCCAAACAAGTACAGGTAGTACTGACAAAGCTTGCCAATTACAAGGTTTTTCACTGCTTCCTTCCTTAGGACTGATAAAAAGTGACTGGTTCAAGGTCACCCAGCTGGCTTCATGTCAAAGGCGGGACTAGAACCCCTGGTCTCCTAGTGGCTAGCCTGATGACTTAACCACTACACTAAAGTAGCTCTCAACAAATTGTTAGGCAGTCTAAATATATTTTTGGAAATAAAAATGACAGCTAGAATTTGGCGCTTCACAATATTTAATTTTCATTAAAAGAATTTGAAGGAAAAGTAGACGGAACAGGAAAATTTCTCCAGGGATAGCTTCTCGTCCCATATATTCTAAATGGATGGGCGTGTTTCAGGTGCTACTGTCCAATGGAACCTAGAAAGCATAAATCTTCCCTGAAGTATCTGGAATGAACTCTCCTGACCCTGCTGGCCTTTAAAACATTAAAAACATGCCTCTTTCCTCCAGGGTTGAGGCCAGGCTGACTGGAGTTTCTACCTGGAGGAGTATAATGTATATTGTGGATTCCCAACTGTTTTGATTTTTAACTGTGATTTGTATTTGTTTGATATCTGCTGCCCAATTCTATTTCTTGTTCATTTTACATTACCCAAAATCACCATTGTTGAAATGGGCAGCCATATAAATCTCATAAATAAATAAGTCTACATGGCCTCCAAGAACAGTATCCAGAAGTATCATAACAATAACATGGAATTCTAAGGACCAAGTTGAAAGCTCCTAACCCAAAGACGTCTTCCCATGAAAAAAAAAAGCACTGGCTTAGCTATATGGTGTCAAACTGGGTCACTGCCCCATTATAAAACACTTTCCCAAGAAAACTACACTGTCAGCTTAACTATAGGACATTCAGAAGGCCAATCAGTGCTAGGTTTGGGGGAAAATTCTGATAAGGAACAGAGCTCTGAGAAATTCTCTAAAAAGAAACCATGTTCATGGAAAACTGCCTCTTTATTCTTTCAAGCCCCCATTGTTTTTGTAGTCTTGGTTCATTGTCTCATAGTTACATCCTAATTATCTCACTGACCTCACTAAACACATGATATGTTATATCTAATGAGATGCCCAACTGCTATATCCAATCACAGGTGTATTCTAATTTGCTTAAGTCTATAAAGTGAGACTATAATGCCACCTCTGTTTAGGCTGGGTTTTGGATTTTTTTTTCCTTCCATACTGTCAATAATCGAATTTGTGTTTGAATGTAGTGCATCCTGGTCTCCAGCTTAAATGAAACTACTTGAGAGAAAATATTTTTTACTGCATTGGGAACAAGCAGACATCATATTACTCAGCTAGTACTTAAGCACAGCAGAAGTACAATTAACATAAATGGAAGAAATATATAGATGACTGAATATCTGTAGCAGAAAATAACACTTTTCCACTAGGTGCATGATATTAAGAAATTTTCTCTTGGAACAAATGGTGGAAGTAGACTAAAACTAATGATTTCAATGGGAATGATCTTTTTTCTAATCTTGCTCAGTATTTTACTTATCACTCATGTATGAACTCTAACAAAAATATGCCAAATCTTCATTTCCTAGTTCTAAAACATACCACTTGACAAAATGTCAATCTCAACAATTTCAATGACTTTCAGAAGCCATTTTATAATTAATAATATAAAAATAAATTCCTGTTACCAAGATCAAACCATTTGGGCTTTAGTCATAAAACATTGTTAATCTGATTATTCTTTCATTTTCAACCTTGCAAAGTAGTATGAATAGTAAAAACTGAGAGTTAACCTATTACTCTTCCACCAGTTTTTGCAAATATTGAATTTTACAGAATTCAACCTTTCACTAAATAAAGTAGAATCTACAGCTGTAGTAAAGATATATTATTTTTAATTGAATCCAACCAATATGTTTGTGAGTTTTGTGTTTCCTCACAAATATCTTAGAGAGCCCACAGTTAGAAGAGAAATACAAAGAAATATGAATATACTTCACTAACTGTTCATAATAAGCAAGAATAACACTTGGTAATCTTTTCAATTTCCTTTGTGTAGAAAGTGAATATCCTAAGAGAATCCCAGTTTTTTTGTATGTCAAGCCTCTATGGGCTCGACACTAACGGGAGGGGGGAAGGGGCAACAGCGTCTGGGGCGGCAGAGACCAGCGACCTGCGCAGACAGACTTCCCCTCTCCTTGTACCTGGCCTGTCAACAGGCAGAGTGTGGTAGTGTGATTGTCAGCTCCGCAGCGTCCCGCCAAACAGCTGACCGGCTCCATGGCCAGGCCCCCAAACAGCTGTTTGGTGCAGGGAAGCAACAGGGTGCCAGAAGCCTGCAGCGCGGCCCAACAAGCAGCTGATCGATGCAGGGACATTCACAGAGCTGGGAGACTGCAGCGTGTCCTGCCTAGCTGTTCTTATCACTTCACATACCGGATGCTGGTTAGGTGGGTGGGGGATGGGGCCCGGCTGGGGAATGTATATGTAAGCGATTGTTCCCAGCGCTGACTTTGTTTGTTGTTTATGTAACTAAATGCATGCCAGAAGTTCCTTGATTAAATCCAGCCACTTGTGAACTCATCAACTCGTGTCCTCTTGGAGCCAGGGGCGTGGTACGGATTTCTGACACTGTACCATTTTTATATTATATAAAAAACATACTTCTTCCTGTGCAAAAACTGAGAGGGCAGGAATTACTAGAAAAGTATGAAAAATGTAAATTCTGAAAGTTTAGCAATGTTCTTAGAAAAGGCTGTTGTGTATTCTGATTGATCTAGACGGGGGGGAAAAAGGATACCTGCAAACATTAGTGATATCAGCACCAGAGTAGCCTTCAATCTTCTCAGCAATTTCTTCCAGACTAATGTCAGGATCCAGTTCTACTTCCCGGAGATTAATCTTAAGCAGCTCCACTCTGCCTTTTGCTGTAAAAATAAATGTTATCTGATTAGAGGAAACTGACAAGTTAATATTTCTACCACATCTAAAGTTATAATTTGGTTTTCTCTTGATTAAAGGAATTCTGAAAGCAATTTTGTTAATGGCTCTAGAATTCTCTTCCCTAAATTGGTGCTCTTAAGATACAGGGTTGCTACAGAGGCCACAATGGTTGCATGCTCTAAGAGTCAGTCCCAATCCAAAGTGAGGAGATTGGACGGGAGGTTCTAACTCTCTTAAAACTGTGAGGCATGTTTAACAATTTTTTTCAGAAAGAAGTAACTGGTAGAAGTAATTTGTGAATTTACCTAGAGTCATCTAAAAACAAGTAAGTTCTTGTTTTCCTTAAAACATATTAACAATTAACCTTACAATGGTGGAGTATATACAGAAACAAAAGATAGATAACCTTCTTTTATTAGATTATCTAGGAAGCTACAAAACTGTTCTGTCTGTGTGCAAATAATTAATAAGTTTAAACAAGTTGAAGTAAAAATCATCTTCTGTGTTACTATGTGGTAATAGTTTCAATTCTATCAATTCTTCCATCAAAACTATTTTCCAGCATATTTGCCACCAAATGAAATAATTCAAATTTTCCAGTATGTTGCTACTACCTTTCTGGCTGCAACCATTAAGAAAACTAACAACTTTTAGTGTGTTTCAAGGTAACATTTGAATTATTAAAAAAAAGAAGCTTAATAAGGCCAATTTACGATTTAATATAATGGCCTGTGTGGTGATCTATCCTATTTGACTAAGGTTTTGGACAACTTTAGAAGATCCCTACACATGATAATATTGCTTTAAACTTTCTCCAAACATTACCAGAATTTATTATATTAAATTTTCTTAGTGTTAAATAACATCAATAAAAATCTTTCCTTATGGTTTCTTCAATTTTGGCTGAAAGCAATTTTGATAGTTTTGTATGTCATTTGGTTCGCCATAAAGTCAAAGATAAATGGGGCCTTTATATTTTATTCTCATATGGTTTATTGAAAATGTTTTCTTTTTTTCTAATACACTGTAACTTTTTGAAATTCACCCTTTCTTCTTGTTAGGTGATGAATTTAGCTTAACTTCAACTTCAGGAACTGTTGTTGTATTAGTTTCTGGAACTGCAATGAAATGTATTTGACATTGTGAATGAGCCAAACTTTCTAAAAACATTAATAATTGTTCTCTAATTTTTGAATTTTTCCCATCATATACATAGTTTAAATAATAAAGCTCCTTCTTTTTACCAACACTCTTTATCTTCATCATAAAATCATGATGAAATATAAAAGGTTGAATCAGTAAAAAATTTCAAGTTTTGAAAATATTCATAACCAATGATTTCTGAGTAAGTTCCAATTCTTAATAAATATTTCTGGGAAAAAGAAATTACCTAATTTTCATCGATATTTATACATTCCATTTTTAGTCATGATGTTAAAATTCTTCTGAATTTATCAGCCTAGAAAGATTTTGTAATTAGCATCGTAAAAATGGGGAACTCATCAAATTTGCAGAAGACCCAAGCTGGCACGAATAGCCAACACTCCAGAAGACAGGCTTAAGATACAGAAGGAATTCGACAGACTTGAACATTGGGCGCTATCTAACAAAATGAAATTCAGTGGTGAAAAAAGTAAGGTTCTACATTTAGGCAAGAAAAACCAAATGCACAGGTACAGTATAGGTGGAACCTTGCTCAATAGTAGTAACTGTGAGAGGGATCTCGGAGTCCTAGTGGACAATCACTTAAATATGAGCCAGCAGTGTGCTGCAGCTGCCAAAAAAGCCAACACAGTGCTAGGCTGCATTAACAGAGGGACAGAATCAAGATCATGTGAAGTGTTAATATCATTTTATAATGCCTTAGTAAGACCACACTTGGAATACTGCATCCAGTTTTGGTCACCACAATGTAAAAAAGATGTTGAGACTCTAGAAAGAATAGAGAGAAGAGCAACAAAGATGATTAGGGGACTGGAGGCTAAAACATATGAGGAATGGTTGCTGGAATTGGGTATGTCTAGTTTAACGAAGAGAAGGATGAGGGGGGACATGATAGCAGTGTTCCAATATATCAGGGGTTGCCACAAGGAAGAGGGAGTCAGGCTATTCTCCAAAGCACCTGAAGGCAGGACAAGAAGCAATGGATGGAAATTAATCAAAGAGAGAAGCAACCTAGAAGTAAGGAGAAATTTCCTGACAGTTAGAACAATTAATCAGTGGAACAACCTGCCTCCAGAAGTTGTGAATGCTCCAACACTGGACGTTTTTAAGAAGAAACTGGACAACCATTTGTCTGAAATGGTATAGGGTTTCTTACCTGAGCAAGAAGTTGGACTAGAAGACCTCCAAGGTCCCTTCCAACACTATTATTATTATTATTATTATTATTGTTGTTGTTGTTGTTGTTGTTGTTGTTATTTAATATTTGGAATTCCAAGGCTACTTTCATTGACATATTTATAGAGAATATTTGGTTTTTTTGTCCAGTACATATATTTATTAACCATTTTCTGCCATTTTTTCCAGCGATATATATGTATGCATCACGGAAGAAGGTGTTTAAGAAAGAAGAATTAAAGAAGTAATGACATTTTTACTGCTCCTATTTAACGAAGCATTGTAATTTTAATTTTGACTACTCTTTCAAGTAATGATTTCAAGTTTAAATTGAAGTCCATATTTTTAGGAATGTGAATTCCTAAATATGTAAAAGAACATTTGCTGTATTTAATTTCTAAATTATATAATTGTTTTTTGCACTGTCATGTATTTTTATACATACATTATTAGAAAAATAAAGTTTGAAAAGAAAACCCACCTGTTGGCAAAGGTATATAAATTCTTTTTTCCAATCTCCTTCTCAAAGCTTCATCAATATCCCAGGGAAAATTTGTAGCAGCAAGCACCATCACCATTCTTGAAGGATCATCATTCTCCAGAGCTCCACCTACACCTAAAGGAGCAATAATAGAGCTAGAGTACATGGTGTTTTTCTATGGTTGTTCACATTAATTTGAGGTTTTACATGCACTATACTGTGCTCTGAATCTTGGAAGTAAAAAGATGTCACATCTTAGTTTCCGAAACATCACATAATGTAGGGGGAAAGAATGAATGAGAGACCCCCATATATTTAGAAAGGGTTGATTTTACACCTGCCTGCCCACCCGCTCAGACTTTGTAGCCTGCGGTGCCTGCTCACTTGCCCATAGTTCTCATCCATAGCTCTCACCTACTGACCTGCTGAAACTCCCTCCTCTTCCTGTGTCAGTTTCTGCTTAATGTTAGCATGGTCTTGCGATTACAATGGCCTTATGACTGCATGGCTTAGCAACAGAAATTCCAGTCCCAATTGCCATCATAACCCAATGACTGCCTGCATGTTAAACTTTTAAAAAATTATGCCACAAAAAAGACAACATTTGCAATAGTGGCAAATATCTGCAACTCGTGTGTAGGATAAGGGTGAAGGTTCGTTCTCCGAGCTTGAGGATTCGTTTCCAAACATTTCATTACTGGGCCAGGTAACATCTTCAGTGATGTTTAGTGGATGTCTGTGTCAGTGTTCTACTTATATAAGGGCTTCAGGTATGGGAGTGTCAAGTGAGGGTCTTGTGATGGGCCAGGTGTGAGTCATCAGAGAGAGGCTTGTGATGGGGAGGTACTTCAGGTCAGGGTTGTTGGGAGGGTGTGAATTAGTGGGTCAGGAGGCTGGTAATGGGTCTTGTGATGGGGAGATTATATCAGGTCAGGGTCATTGGAAGGTGAACTACTGGGGGGAGGGGCTTGAGGGTTGGTGCTGTCTCCAGATGGCTCTTTGATTGATTTGGATTCTGAGGGGTTCATATGCTGGTTGTAGATCAATATGTCTGTTGATGGAATTGCTTGTAGAAAGCCAGGCTTTGATGAATGACAACATTTGCAGCCCCATTTTTTCAGGGAACTCCAAATTCCTACAGTTCTCAGAATCCCCAAAGGTCAGTTTTTTAAAAGTGGTCTCTGGATGCACAAGTCGCCTGAATCAAGTTTAAAGGATGACCCTATGGAACTTTTCCTTTAAAGTCCTTCCCTCCTTCACTGGGTCTATTCTACAACAACGTATAAAACAAGAAAAAGACCCCCCAATGCAGGCAGAACAAACCCTATTTACCATCCATCTGAACCAGCAGCTCTGACTTGACTCTGCGGCTTGCCTCATGTTCATCCACAGTGCCTCTGCGACTACAGATAGAGTCTATTTCATCAATGAAAATGGTCGTAGGAGCATAAAACTTGGCCTTAAAACAAAGACAAATATTTCTTATGTGACATAGGGATTCATAAGATTTTTTTAAAAATTATATACAATACCCTCAGCGTTACAGTCATGTTTAACAAAGATAGATACCAATAAATTTTCTTAAAGACCCTATATGTTTCTTGCTAAATCAAGACAGTTGTGAATTTAAGGAATGTCCTACAGATGCACAAAAATAAATAGCATATCAAACTAAGACATAGATATGCAGGAAATTGTTGATGTTGTTCATTTAAACCACCAACCCCAAACCAATTCAATATGGACATTTATAGTATAATACACTCATTGTAATGTACATTGACTGCCCTGAAATCATTTTACAAAGAACAGAAGCCAAGAACAAATTATTCAAATAAGAGTAACATCTGAGGAAATCAACAATACCTACCATTTCAAACAGCAAACGAACTAATTTTTCAGACTCGCCTCGATATTTTGATGTGAGAGTGGAGGAAGACACATTGAAAAATGTAGTTCCACATTCTGTAGCGACAGCTTTTGCTAGCATGGTTTTACCAGTCCCAGGAGGGCCAACCATAAGCACTCCCTGAAATTAAAATCCAAACAACTGAAGAAACCACAAGCCTGATGCAGGCATATAACAACATAATACAATTAAATTAATCTAAACATAATTTAGATTGTGGATCCTCAGATTAGGTTTTCTCAAACAATGAGGTGATGAGGCTTGATTATCTACAAATTCTGTATATCTTGGATCTCTTGGCAACTTTCAATACCATCAGCCATGGTACCCTTCTGGACTGGCTGCAGGAACTGGAAGTAAGAGGCAGTTTTGCAGTAGTTCTCCTCCTTCCTATGTAGCCAGTTGGTATTGGTGGGAAGGGAGAGGTCCAGCCCTAATCCCCTTTAATGTTGAGCACCTCTACCCAAAACTGATCGGTGGAGCCATCCAATGGCATAGAGGTCAACATTCAACAAAAAATTATATCCAGTAATGATACCCAGCTGATGTCATCATAGTGCTTACCCAGTGCCTAGAGGCTGTGAGGATATGGAGGGTGAGCTTCTTTTTGGGTGCAGTACAAAGTACTTTTAAAGCCCTTTATGACACAGAGCCAGGTTATTTGTGGAACTGCCTCTTTTTGAGGATATACGCCTGCCTCACTAGACTGGATAAAGTGGGCATACTCCAGGTCCTTTCCCTTCAATGTTGCCTTTTACTGCAGCCGTCCCCAACCTTTCCGGCTTGGTGGACCAGCAGAGGGGAGAGAGTACGGTTCTGTCTGAGTAGCAGGCATGCACGTGGGCATGCGCAACTCCATTTGTGTAAGCAGCGGGCATGTGTGCCTGTTGCTCGCACAAGTGGAGCTGCACTCGCACGCTGCTTGTGCGGCCCAGTTCCAAACAGGCTGCAACCCCACGGCCTGGGGTTGGGGACTCCAGCTTTAGTGAACCTAGGAAGAATGTCATAGCAGCCTCCGCCAGTGAACATCTATCCCTTTGAGATCTGGCAGGATCTCCCGCCCCCCTTTACCTTCCAGAAAGCCATTAAGAGGTGGCTTTAACTCCAAGTATTGAGATAGCAAGGATAGAGCCCAGGAGATTACATTCCAAGATGACTGTGATTATTGGAACATAATGTATGATTTTTCTTCTTTATGTTGTATTATTTTTATTGTATTTTTATTACTTTGTTAGCAACTCAGAGTTGTGTCTCGCAAAACGGGCAACTATTTAAATCTTTTTAAAAATCACTCACACTCCTGGATCCTGGTGTTTCTATTCGCCTTGGGAGCAGTTAAAGATAATTATACATTGGGCCAAATGGAATTTCTTTGATTATTACTGCTCACAGAAAGAACTGCTTGCATATTTTCAACAATTTAATTCATTTACAACACATTTCTCTATAAAAATTGAATGTTTCAAATAAGTTTCTCCAGCATTGCAACCATATTATGTTTAATTTATATTTATTTATTTTTATCCCACCTTTATTTTATAAATAATTCAAGGCGGCAAACAAATTAATACTCCTTCCTTTTCTTATTTTCCCCACAACAGCCCTAGGAGGTGGGTTGAGCTGAGAGGTGTGATTGGTCCAAAATCATCCAGCTGGCTTTCATGTCTAAGGCGGGGCTAGAATTCAGTCTCCTAGTTTCTAGCGTGGTGTCTTAGCCACCAGACCAATTAGACTAAGCACTAGACAAAACATAATATTTTTTATCTACTTATTAATACAAGAACTGGATGTGCTAAACAACAATGAGAATCTGAAGCCTTGAAATGGGAGAGAAAGCTGCTTCATTTGACCTGGCAGTTTCTAAATTTTACAGACCTCTTTCTTCAGACGTCGAACTATATGCGCCTTATAATTTTAAAACAAATGTCAACTAAAATCCTATTTCTGCACTGGCTGCCCTCCTGTCAGGCAAGATCCCTACTCACTCCTGGATTTAATCCCAGGTCCAGTGTTGAAGTTCCTTCATCTTTGAAGGTTGGGTGACTTTAATCTCCATGGACTGGCTAGAACCAGGACAGGTGGGGTTTCATGGCCTCTACTTATAAAGATCAAGTGATCATGAGTAATCTTTTGCCTATCGTACTCAGGCTGTTATATTGACCTCATTTTGCCTCAGAGCACTTGTTACACAATCTTGATATGGCTAGCATATCTTTTGCCCCACTGGTATGCTTAATTTCCTAGTCTAAATAAAATTGTCATCCAAGTGATCAGGCTGATTTAAGATAAACCACAACATGCATTTCATGGAAAAGAATGTATTCAAACAAATGTTCAGGAGAGTTCCTAGCAACAGGTAACCTATTCTGTTGAATGCCTGATGAATTGAAAGCAGCAGGAGGTGATCTAGTCCTTGATGTTGATCACTCCAACCAGCCTAGACTCTTGGCTTGACTTTTCATGGGCATGGTCTGTGGTAGAGGCAGGGGAACATTTTGCAACATTAGTTAGATTCTTCTGAGGTTATGGGTTCTGATGAAATGTAGAGGATGTAGTCTTTCAGGTCCTCTGCCACCTATGGGCTAGATCTATGCCTTAACTGAGTCCTCCAAGGGAAGAACAAATGTGACTAGCTGGTGTAAATTTCCATTCCTGGATTACAATAAATGGGTAGCTCCGAACTGTGTTTAGGTTTCTGGGAAAATCTGGTCTATGCCTGTCTTGGGGAGCTTCACAATTATATATCTTAAATGATAAATCCACAGTACAGCCCCAGTGTGCCTAGCAACACTTCCTTAGTTCTCTCCAGACCCCATAGGTCATTTGATTTTACTGTTTTATTTAGACATCTTTTAAATAGCTGGTGATTGCCAAAAAAAGGAGTACAGAATATCTTGAGAGGAAGATTTATCTTTTGCTAAATGTCTGTATTATGAGCAAACCCACCACACTAATCATTTTGTGAGGTGCCCACAAAAGATTTTGAAAATTCGAAATATACCCAATGGTTCCAAAAGTTAAAACTCATGATTTAAACTTCACTTCTTCTTTTGCACCTAACTTGTAAAGAATTTAGAATTTACTGTGGAGAAAGTATGAAAGAGCCATTGATGGGGGAAGAAAGGACAAAGCTATTAAGGAAGGACTTGAGAAGAGACTGCACACTCTAGAGACTGAAACAAGTGTGAGAAAAAAAACTCAAAATAATCCCACCCTGATTTTGTTTACATAAAATGGGGCAGAGAAAAATTTGGATAGAGTAGATTCCTTAAATCCCTGAGGTATCTATTTCTTGATCTGGTCAATCTTAAAGAGCAAATTACATCTGTCCTTCTGTCTATTGCTCTAACCATAATCCTTAAAGTTTTGCTGTTCCGACTGTGCAAGATAAATTTTCCATCTTGGTCTGTTGTGAATGAGCGTTTCATGATCTTTTATCTTTTTTCATTCATACTGTTCATCAATGCATAGTTAGAGCTGTTGAAAAGTTACATATAATTCATAAAGCAAAGGTTAACTGCTTCTGTGCAAAACCAGCTTCTTAATTACAGACATTACATTATTTCATAAGAGGAAAGCAATGAATAAAGACAATACACACTTATCAGTTTTGCTACTGTTACTGAATATCTTTTATCCACCTGAAAATTACTATCAAAAGATTTCTAAAGAAAAATTGTATTTTTAGGATAATCACATTAACACCAGACATCAAACTGAACTTTACACCATTATTGTCTTACATATTTTCACAATAAAACAGTTAATTAAAACTAAAATAAACACATTTTGCAAAATGTGTACTTCCTTTGAATTATAAAAATAAATCTGACAAAATACAATTATTCAAAAACCATGTCCATAATATGTTGGATTCTCCTCAAGAAACTCCTAAGCCAGTATCCTTCACAACAAGCAAAAGTTAACCACCAATGCTATGTCTACCCTGGAACCCAATCTAAATCTGGACTTTGCCAAATCAAGGCAACAAACCTACACAACAGTGCTTGCCTTCTGGAAAAAAAATAAGGGGAAAAATTTCCAAACATCTATTCCAAGGGTGTCAAACTGCCGGCCCACAGGCCAGACGCGTCACAAAAAAACCGCGGCCAGTCCATTGCCAGCAATGTGGAAAAAGTTCCAATATGTCGCATGATGTCACATGACGTCGCAAGTTTGACATGTCTGATCTATTCAAACCATTCACCATAATGAGAAGGTTCCACTGATCTACCAGAACATCTGTCCAGTCATATGCTCAGCCAAGCTGAAGAATTCATGCTGAATTCTTGCATGAGGCTTAAGAACTCACACAAAATATACTATTCTGTGCAAACACTGAACACTTTTTCTCCACTTCAGACATAATTGGTGAAAAGATATTACAAGCTCTTACGGCAATATACCAAAAACAAACGGCACAACTTATTGTTAATGGAGGTTTGTCAGAGGTTTTTACAATAGAGAAAGGTACTAGGCAGGGATGTCCATTATCACCGTTGCTGTTTGTTTTAACATTGGAAATATTGTTGATCAAAATTCGAGAGTCGCAGGAGATAAAAGGAATAGAAGTTAACAAAAAAGAATATAAGTTAAGAGCTTTTGCAGATGACTTGGTGGTTACTTTGTCGCAACCTACTTATTCTGTAGTAAAGTTATTACAGTTGACTTATCATTATGGTTTGGTTTCGGGTTTTAAGATTAATGTTAATAAGACTAAAATCCTACCTAAAAATATGACTATTCGGGAGAAGCAGATTTTGGTTAATTTGACGGGTTTTGAAATTGTTAATAAGGTAAAATATTTGGGGGTGATTTTATCTGTTTCTAATGCAAAATTGTTTAAGAATAATTATGAAAGGTTGTGGGTTAGAGTACAGAAAGACTTGAGGAATTGGGAAAAGTTGCAATTATCTCTCATGGGAAGAATTGCAGTGATAAAAATGAATGTTCTACCCAAGTTTCTTTTCTTGTTTCAAATGTTACCGATTTTGAAGAATGAGATTAATTTAAGTGAATGGCAGAAAGGTATTAACAAATTTATCTGGGGAGGGAAAAAACCAAGGGTAAAGTTTAAAATCATGCAAGACTCCCGTGAGAGAGGTGGACTCAAGGTACCGAATTTGAAATTATATTATGATGCGGTGGTTTTAACATCAATTAGTGATTGGGTAAATTTAACAAATTTGGAGATACTCCATTTGGAGGGATGGGATTTACTTTTTGGTTGGCATGCCTATTTAATATTTAATAAAAAGGTGGACCGGGCTTTTAAATCTCATATTATAAGAATTTCTTTACTTAGGGTCTGGAGAAAATATTATAAAAGTGATTTTAAAATACCATTATGGGCTATACCTTGGCATGCGATAGAGGGGATAAAAAGAGGTGTCAAAATGGATATGGTGTCTTATACACAGTTACTTAGATGGGATGGACAAAATTGGCAGTTAAAACTATTGGAAGAGCTAGCACATGAAAATATCATTTATTCTTGGTTTCAATACAGGCAATTAGTAGACAGATGGAAGATGGATCGTAAGGTGGGTTTTCTCAGAGAAGATGAAAATTTTATTAAGCAAGTGAAGGATCAAAGACAAACTCATATTAAGAGAATTTATGGGGTTCTAGTGGAATTGGATTCAGAAACAGAATTAATGAAGGATTGTATGATTAAATGGGCGCAGAATTTTGGTGAACCACTTCTACTGGATACCTGGGAAACTATCTGGGTGAGAAATGTTAAATTTATACAAGCACAGAATTTAAGGGAGAATTTTTATAAAATGTTTTATAGATGGCACCTTGATCCACAAAAATTGTCTTTTATGTACCCTGACCTACAGCCTAAATGTTGGAGATGTGGTTGTTTGGATGCCACCTATTATCATATCTGGTGGTCGTGCAGAAATATAAAAGCTTTTTGGATTAAGATATGGTGGAATATTCAGAGAATTTTTAGAAGGAGGGTAAAATTTACTCCACAATTATTTTTATTAGGTATAGTTACTGATTGTGATACAAAGGAGGTTATATTGATGTTGAACTTGATCACAGCCGCAAGGCTGTTAGTAGGACAATATTGGAAGAAGGAATCTTTGCCTACTTTGCAGGAATGGTTTCTTAAAGTGTCTTATTTGGCGGAAATGGCAAAGATTTCGGCTTTCTTAAAAGAACAATCACAAGAGAAATTTCTTGCTGTTTGGGATAAATGGATAAAGTTTATACAATTTAAATTGGATATAAAAATATCATTTAGCTTTTTTATAACCTTTATTTTTATATATATACATATATTTTAGTGTTATATTCTTTTTTTTTCATATAATCTTTTTAACTTTTTTTAATTAAACCTATATTCTGCTCTGGGAAGCTCCGGGGGGGGAGGGAGTGGGGGTTTTGGGGAGGGTTGGGGAAGGGTTGTTTTGTTTTGTTTTGCTTTGTTTTGTTTTGCTTTGTTTTTGTATTGTATTGTATTGTTTTTTCTTGTCTTTTTGTAAAAATTTATAAAAACTTTTAATAAAAAAAAAAATAGTTTCAAAGCAAGAAACAAGAAAAAGACATTTTATCATATTCCCCATATCATGGGAAAGCAGACAACTGCAGATCATTTCAAATGCCAAATACATTTAAAAAAAAACACATAGATGTATGTTTATATCATAATTCATGTCAACACAACACAAAACACAACATGCTTTGCTACTGTGTGCCCTTGTATTCACTCATAATAACTTCACCTTTGGCGTAACATGTATCTGCAGATTAGTGGCAAAACTGTAGACACATGCATAGCTCCCAGATAGTCAAACATCTTCATAGCTACCTAGAACAGCACTTTCTCAATTCTTATTCTTCAAAGAAATCCTTTACGTGAGATTCCTTGATGACATTTAATCTTCTGGATCTATGAAAATGAGTATCTTGTTAAATTCCTTCATTGTTTCAACAGCTTCCATACCACAACAGTCTTCATCCTCAATCTATCTACAGAACAAGCCCATTTCCATGATATCATGGCAAAACTAGAAATTGTGCACATAAACACCAGGTTATATAGGAAGCCCATAGATCTCCATGTATACTGTATGCTTCAGTTTCCATTCAGAATACATCAGTTATATTATCTATAATTATATCCTTACAACCACATTTGTTTTAAGTCAAAACAGGAAAAAGCCCTAGCAAACGCCTACCTAACTGTGGAGGTAAGTTGCATTTGCTTTGATTTAGCGAAATGACTTCATAGGCTTATTAACTAGAGGTAGAATGAATTACTTTACAGATCAGCTGTATGTTCACTCTGATACATTAGAGATCTCTAGAACAGTGTTTCTCAACCTTGACAATTTTAAGGCATGTGGACTTCAACTCCCAGAATTCCACAGCCAGCATTGCTGGCTGTGGAATTCTGGGAGTTGAAGTCCACATGCCTTAAAATTGTCAAGGTTGAGAAACACTGCTCTAGAAGCTTGGCCTGCTGGAGATGCCTATTACAGAATCAAATAATAAAGCAATAATTTTAAAAGCCTGAAAATTAGATTGGGAAATGAATGGTAGTTACATCTAAAACAGGGTTGGTTGGTTAACATTATCTAAAATGAAAGATATTCAGTGAAGCAATAATTCAATCTAAAATCAAAACATTGGGGGGGAGAAGAATATGCAGCCACAGAATTAAAGCTTTCAAAAAAAATCCAATTTTCTTAAGAAATTTACTAATTAATAATAACCATATTCCCAACCATATTCTTCACTTCAACAGAAGACAGTGAAATTGTTCCAAATAAAAACATTTGAGCCATGATATGTCCCATAATTTTAACCACCTCTACAAACCTGTATTCCTCAAATAAAATCAAACATGAGCAATGTTATCAGTTAAAAGTTTGCAAATTTATCTGCAGTAAAGATATATTTTAGAAATGGTTTGGGGGAAGGGTATTAGGACATTTTACTTGGAATAAATCCACTGAATGAGATTTGCTAGGTAAATGGCAATGGAGAAGCTGTTAATACTATTACAGCAACAAGATAATCTGATGCTATCTTAGAAAAAGCCATCCTGGTGACCTTATCATATGATTTCTCCCCGGGCCATCACACAGCTCCATTGTGTGTAGTAATCAAGACTTCTTCACTCATGGTTTTAGTCATCTCTTGCTTGGACCTGTGCAAACACTTTACATGGGCTATTCTTAAAGAATATTTGGAAATTACAGATGATTCAGAACGCAGCAACTTGAGTAGTCATGGGCATACCTTAATTCAGTCATATAATCCCACTACTTTGGGATTCGATTTTAGGTGCAATTTCAGGTTCTGGTTGACATCCTTAAAGCCCTGCATAACTCAGGACCAGGTATCTTTGGGACCACCTAAATATCTACCCATCCAATAATATCTCTATGTGTGCATTCTGGAAATGTCATCAAAAGACATCACAAAGTGAGCTTTGTCAATTGCTGCCCCTTCTATACAACACCATTCCCCCTGAAATTCAAAAGCAAAAGAAAAAAAAGAAAAGCAAACAAATAGTTTTGGAGTTTTAGGAAGGCTATTAAAAAGTGGATTTTCCAGCAGAGAGCTGGGATATCCTAATGTTATTCCTTTTGGTTTTGGAGTATTTGTTCAGTCTAATTGACATTTCCAAAGTTTATATCTACAGACATATTCTGATTTTTGTATTGCAATTTTGTTAGTTTTAACCTGATTTACAGAAGACATACATGATGTTCAGAGTCATCAGTAACTAGAATGAAATAAGCACAGCAAATAAAAAATGAACAAAATGCTAACCTTATGTCCTGTAAAGGAAGAATAAGAGCTTCAAACAGATCTTCTACGATGGTTTAGTACAAGGGTAGGCAACCTCGGCTTTTTTATGACTCATGGACTTCAACTCTGGGAGTTGAAGTCCATGAGTCATAAAAGAGCCAAGGTTGCCTACTCCTGGTTTATTATCATCTGATCATACCCAATAAGCAAATTCTTTATATCAAAAGAGGTACTCCTCGACTTACAACCATAATCAAGCTCAGAATTACAGCTGTAAGTCATGTGGGTCATCAAGTGACCAACTCCATTTTACAAACAATTTTTCCAGTGGTCCTTAACTGAATCATCATGGTCGTTAAGTGAATATGTGGCTGTTAAGCAAACACGTCTGCAATGGGCGGTGTTTTTTGTTTTTTTGTTTTGCTGGAAACCAGAAGGATACACCATTTTCCAGCAAAAAAAAAAAAATCATAAATCAAGGTCATTTGATGACAGGACACAGCAAACAGCCATAAATGTGAGACAGCTGCCGAGTGTTCAAAATAAGAATATATGTCTGTGGGGAGGAAAGAATTAGAACTTCAGCTCCAGATCGTAAATCTCTTTTTTTGGATCTGTGGTAACTTTGAACATTCACTAAGAAGTCAAGGACTCTCTATATAGAATATTTCCTTTTTTTAAAGTAATACAAATATTACCTTTAATATATACCCCTTCCCCAAAACTGGTAGATTTATTTCAAGAGAAAATGCTTGAATATGTACTACAATGTTATACGGGCAACACAGAGATATAGTAGCTGGAGGGTTCTTACTTTCCAAGGTCTTCTGATTCCTTTGAAAAAATCTGGCATCCATAGTGGAAGAACAACTGCTTCTCTTAATAATTTTTTGGCTTCTTCTAAATCTGCAATATCATCCCTATGGAAAATAAAATTCAGATTTAGAAGGATAATATCTCCCTCTCTTTTTCAACAACAAATATATAAATAAATGTTAAGTGCTTGCACTTCATTGATAAAATATATGATGACAAGCTCTTGCACAGGATGCTAGTACAATTCATTGTTCTGAAAAATGACCTTCCATTTAAAAGACATGCGGAAAATGACTTGCAGCTAATCGCAGAACAGAATGTTCAGTTTAAAAATAGGTTTCTTGAAAACATGATTATCAAGGCAACACCTAAAAAGCTTTTCAGCATTGTTGCACATTTTAATGAGCGTCTGTAATGAGCCTTTTGTTCATGGTACTATTTAGACAAGAAGTGTGCTTCGTAAGCATAATAGCACTCACAATTAGCTCAAGAAGCTTTTCTGCTGTAACAGAACTGGAATGAACAACTCTAGTCTGATATGGGCTCCGCCATATGGACTTGCTTCCTGTCTGTTTTCAACCATCTAGAGTTGGCTACAGTCTCCAAACTCTAGTCTAGGGCGACGCTCAAAGCTGGCCCATCTACTGAGCACTTGAAACACCTATCTCAAATATCTCCTTAGTCTTTCAGTAATTCTCTGTTTTAGTAATAATAGTTATTTTAGCCAAGGACAGGAAATCTGCATACATCTGCAGCCCAGAACCCCAATATATGAGTACAGTAAACTGGCAATGGTTCTGCAGATTAGAGACAATTAAGATATTGTTATTTTAAGGACAGGCAGAATGAATAGGAGGATACCCTGGATCACATTCAAAATTTCAAATGACAGAATTGCTACTTTTCAGTAAGCTCCTTAAAACACTATAAAGTCCTGTTCTCTGTGATCCACAATATGGGAAATGATAATGAAAAAATAAAGATTTTAGGAGCTCATATAACATACCTGCTAACTTAGAATCGTAATGGCTGCTAAAATAACTTGAGAATTAAAGATATTTCTGGAAACCTTATTTGAACTATTTTCAACACTTTTCCAGTTTCAAATGTTTATGATCCCATCTAGACTTAACAGTAATTATTGTTCCATTATGGGTGCCTTGTGAGGCGCTATAATGCTTTAAAGCTAATGTATCTCCATATGGTGTCTGTAACTTTCAGATTTCTCCAAGTAGATATTTACAGCTATATAAACAGCTTCTAACAGCACAAACTTTCATAAAACTATATGCAATAACACATTTAAAATTTAACATAATCATGCTTTTATATAATGATATAGAAACTTATTGGTAATTATCAGTTTTTCAAATCTAAAAATTCTATTATACATGCTTCTCTTATTCAGAAGGCGAGATTTTCAGGATAACGTACTCTCAATATACAAACTGCCCAAAGGATTTTAGCTGATAATAGACTATTCCTCTTTGATCTTCTCTTGACAATAATTTGCTATGAATTAGCACTCTTAAATTATTTTAAACGTCATGCATCTATGAAATATTATTCTATCCTTTAAAACAGGAAAAGTACTGCAAAGATATCTAAAGTGTTATCCAAAATAACTCGATATGAAATAGTTATTTTTGTTATTATTACACTCTCGTTTTATTGTTCTGCATCCATCTAATCCATCAAGCCTTACAAAACCATTAATTTTTAATGTGCAAAATATCTCTGAGTTTTTCTTAATATCAGCGTACTACAAAATAACCACAATAATTGCCCACATGTCAACATCTCCTGTATATGTATCCACAATAAATATTAATATATCTCATTTTACAAAAGAATTACTATACCAATGAATACTTAGATTTCTTGACACAATGTCCCTTTCAAGAGCTTCAACCAAATCTTTATCATATCCTGTTCCATCAAATTTCTGAATTTCACTGTCACCACCACCATCCTGGGGGATCTTCTTTCCCTGGATAAAGGAGTTAGAAGCATGTAAGTATACATCTATATTTCTTTTTCTTCTCTTAAGCAATTATCTGGGTTCTACTCAGATAAATTTGATGAATTGTAGTTGTGGGATAAAGGAAACAAAACCAGTAACTACCCATCATAAATATCAGGGATTTCCAATATTATTTTTCATGAAAAATGAAAATTTGAATGGAGATCTGAAGGCCAGATGACCATTGTGGGAAAGACAGAATATGCAGCACTCAGGAGTTTAGATATAATCAGCTTAATCAGAACAGAACAGAATTATTTTTCTTTTTTCTTCTGGGGACTTCATTTCCTTTTAGTTAGTTTCAAAACATAAATGTCTACTATATGCAAGACTGGATCCACCCAACATTGGCAAATACGGAAGGAAGGAAGGAAGGAAGGAAGGAAGGAAGGAAGGAAGGAAGGAAGGAAGGAAGGAAGGAAGGAAGGAAGGAAGGAAGGAAGGAAGGAAGGAAGGAAGGAAGGAAGGAAGTTTGGTAAAGTAGCTAAGTGATAAAGTGCTGGTCCTTTCCCCATCTGTGACACCATCTAAATGCAGGATTAAGAGTGCAGATACTTTTTGGCTTACCGACTCTGAAAGCAGTCCCAATTTCTTCTCAATCTAGTATCTGTGATGAACCAATGAACATCACAGCTTTATAATTTGTGCTTATACCTGGCTGAATCTGGCAAACTACTGCCCTAATTCAAACAGTTGCTCTCTCGCTGTGTGTAATGAGTGTGCTGTTTTTTATTGTTCTGGACTACACTCAAGATGGCACCCTTCCTCTCTTTCCTTTCTTGTCTGTTGCTCCTCTGTTTAGTCTGCTTTCACCACATGTCATTATCATAAAAAAATGGGCAGAGAGCAATGCCTCTTTCTGTTGACCTTGATCTCACCAGTAAGATAAGCCTGTATGGCTTATTCCTTCCTTTATAAAGTATTCTTGTGAGTTACAGAAAATACCTTGGGGGTGCCATAGGATATAAGTTGGAAACCTCTGCTCTAGATCCTTACCTTTTCATCCTTCCCTTTTCCTCTAGATTCCCTCTCTCGACTACTAGCAGATTTTTCATTTTTTGATATTGGTTGAGCTCTGCCCACAGGTCCCCGTTGTAATCCTGGCAATTCTCTCCGCAGAGGTTTCACTTCTCGATTGGGTCGTTTTATCTGAGGTGGGACTCTGTGTCACATGAAGGAAGCACACAAGAAACTACTAAGATGAGTAAAATTATTTCCATCCTGTATTGCTATTCAATTTCAGTCTTTCCAACACAGTGTCCTCCAGATACATACAGTGGGGCAAAAAAATATTTAGTCAGCCACCAATTGTGCAAGTTCTCCCACTTAAAAAGATGAGAGAGGCCTGTAATTGTCATCATAGGTAGACCTCAACTATGAGAGACAAAATGAGAAAACAAATCCAGACAATCACATTGTCTGATCTGGAAAGAATTTATTTGCAAATTATGGTGGAAAATAAGTATGTGGTCACCTACAAACAAGCAAGATTTCTGGCTCTCACAGACCTGTAACTTCTTCTTTAAGAGGCTCCTCCTCCTCCACTCATTACCTGTATTAATGGCACCTGTTTGAACTTGTTATCAGTGTAAAAGACACCTGTCCACAACCTCAAACAGTCACATTCCAAACTCCACTATGGTGAAGACCAAACAGCTGTCAAAGGACACCAGAAACAAAATTGTAGACCTGCACCAGGCTGGGAAGACTGAATCTGCAATAGGCAAGCAGCTTGGTGTGAAGAAATCAACTGTGGGAGCAATAATTAGAAAATGGAAGACATACAAGACCACTGATAATCTCCCTCGATCTGGGGTTCCATGCAAGATCTCACCCCGTGGAGTCAACATGATCACAAGAACGGTAAGTAAAAATCCCAGAACCACATGGGGGGACCTAGTGAATGACCTGCAGAGAGCTGGGACCAACGTAACAAAGGCAACCATCAGTAACACACTACACCGCCAGGGACTCAGATCCTGCAGTGCCAGATGTGTCCCCCTGCTTAAGCCAGTACATGTCCGGGCCCATCTGAAGTTTGCTAGAGAGCATTTGGATGATCCAGAAGAGGATTGGGAGAGTGTCATATGGTCAGATGAAACCAAAGTAGAACTGTTTGGTAGAAACACAACTCGTCATGTTTGGAGGAGAGAGAATGCTGAGTTGCATCCAAAGAACATCATACCTACTGTGAAGCATGGGGGTGGCAACATCATGCTTTGGGGCTATTTCTCTGCAAAGGGACCAGGATGGCTGATCTGTGTACAGGAAAGAATGAATGGGGCCGTGTATTGTGAGATTTTGAGTGCAAACCTCCTTCCATCAGCAAGGGCATTGAAGATGAAACGTGGCTGGGTCTTTCAGCATAACAATGATCCCAAACACACCGCCCGGGCAACGAAGGAGTGGCTTCGTAAGAAGCATTTCAAGGTCCTGGAGTGGCCTAGCCAGTCTCCAGATCTCAACCCCATAGAAAACCTTTGGAGGGAGTTGAAAGTCCGTGTTGCCCAGCGACAGCCCCAAAACATCACTGCTCTAGAGGAGATCTGCATGGAGGAATGGGCCAACATACCAGCGTGTGCCAACCTTGTGAAAACTTACAGAAAACGTTTGACTTCTGTCATTGCCAACAAAGTATATATAACAAAGTATTGAGATGAACTTTTGATATTGACCAAATACTTATTTTCCACCATAAATAAATTCTTTCCAAATCAGACAATGTGATTATCTGGATTTGTTTTCTCATTTTGTCTCTCCTAGTTGAGGTCTACCTATGATGACAATTACAGGCCTCTCTCATCTTTTTAAGTGGGAGAACTTGCACAATTGGTGGCTGGCTAAATACTTTTTTGCCCCACTGTATATAATATATTCAGAATTTCAAAACAGCATAGCTAGTACATTAAAATTTTTATGAACTCGGTTTTGAAAGATGCCAAAACTGAGGAAAGCTGTTCAACTCTGGGGGAAAGCTAATGTTCAAACTGCATATCTTGATCTCTAAGGAGCCAGTGTATGGCTATGCTTTGGAGCGGAAGGTATGCTACTACACAGTTCTTTGTATCCACATAATCCCTTTCATCCCTTTTCATTGCTGTGCAGATGGTGATGATAGAAATTGTGAAGACATTTAAAAACTACATATGCATCTCGCAAAATGGAGCAGGAACTAGGAAATCGGGGGAATTGTAGAGACAGAGATAGATGCTAGGAAAAAAAGTAAAAAAGATGAAAAAAATATGGCTAAGGAGTTAGCAATACAGTCTGGTAATAACAGGTGCAAGAAAGAATAGGAGCAGAAGCTCAATTCAGGCATTGCACCAAACTGCAGTTAAGGAAACTTAGTTACAATTCTGTGTGAAATCCAAAATAAATTAAGGTTTTTAACAGTCCAGCATATTGGAATCTAGGAATTATGGTTAGTAGTTTTGAAAATAATTGTAGTTTGGTAAAGCCTTCCATGAAAATCTGTAATTATAACTGAAGTTGTTTTTAGTGACCATCATACTAATAGCAATAGTCAGCAGACCTTAATGTTATATTTGTAATGCAAACTAGCATACTAGGCTATGAATAATAGTTCAAATGTTTGATGAGATTCTATAGTCAATGCTCACATTTTAAAAGTGAAAAGGAGGAATAAGGTAAAACGGCTCTTTTCTCAATCATTATACTACTTTCTCTATCAAAAATGTAGTTGCTACTGTCTGCAAGTAAACATCCATCCTATTTAAGCCCAATTACCTGTGTTCAGCTGGAACCGGAGGTGGCCAGACAATTGGATCTCTAAAATGTTCATCTTGATAAGATACAGGAATATCTGTAGGCTTGTCTATTTTAAAACTCTCTAACGTGTTGACAATGCTCTTTACTTGTTCAAATTCTTCTAATAATTCTTGCCGAATCTGAAAAACAAATAAATATGAAGCTGTTCAAAAATTAAATTGCAAGGTATTATAGCATGCAGTTTAAAGCAGAGCAGTTTTGGTATAAACAAAAGCAATCTGGAGGGAAACTGTTGATTTCTGGTATTCTTTGCACAAGGCAAACTAATCTGGATAAAACTCAAGTCACTCCAATACAAGGGCTGGGCCAGTCTAAAATCTGCATCATACCTGTGTTTTATACACCTCAAAGGAGCATTCAGACAGGACTGCCTGCTTGCTTATTGTTTGTTTTAAGCAGCAGAGCTGAGAGGTTTAGACTATAAAACAAATTTTACAATTATGCTAGATAAAACATTTTTCTTAATTTTCAATTAGAAACACAAATCAGCAGGCCCCTGCTATGTACCCCAGAAACCCCCCCTCCCTCAATTTTACTTCTTTTTGCCAAATCAAAATTGCCACAGCACTGCTGCCAATCACAGTAGTATAGCAAGTTTCTCCCTCTTCCTCAGAAGGAAAAAAAATGAGCCCATAACTTTATTCTAAAATAAAGTTATGAGGTTCTAAAAATGTCTCACTTTATTGCCAATGGTACAAAGTGCATCAGAAAAGATTATTATGAAATTATCACATAAATTTCCTTGTAAATGTTTTGCAAGGAAAAAGATTCAGAGGTAGCTCAGCATTTTCCTGAATATTCAAATGTTTTAAGTGAATATTAAGAAGCGTTACTTGCTTTCTCAGGCTCCAAGAAGTCTGTAAGACAGGGGCTGTTTGTGTAAAAACCTGGTGTATAAATATATGACTATGTATTTGTGGCATATACATTTTTGTATTTCCATGTATATTAATATGTAGGGAGGTTACACATTTTAGGTTACACATTTTAAATGTACAAGCATATGCTTTCGTTTGTGGAGCTCAGTGGCAGGTGTTCCTATTCTCCGTATCCCCTAGGTTCATAACCATGATTTGATGTCAATTGCTTGAAAAGACTGCCTATCCCTGCCTTAAACCTTAATTCTCACTCCTAATCAAAGCAATTTTAATCAAAGCAATCAATTATATTTTCTCTTAACTTATGGTTCCTCTCTTCATCTCTATTTCTTTCTGGCATTTAAATCTTAACTTTATTGGATTTACATTTAGAGCTATGCACAAAAAGGAGAATATATATTTTTTCAAACCCAGAAGAAATCATTGCAATCTTGTTTTGCCAGGCTATTTTGGGGCAACCATTACAGTTTTGTTCACTGGAGTTGGGAGGCTAATAAATTCATGTAAATATATAAATAAATACAAGTCAGTAGACATAAATCCCAAAGTTTATTTGTTGTTCCAAGTTTTGGATAACCAATATCCAGGGAAATCCTTGTGTGATTTCATGAGGAAGATGCCAGGCTTCTGGCAGCAACCTGGACTGAAACTGATTATTGCAATTCCAACAAGTTTGACTTCAAATTAATGCAATTATTAAGGAGGCTGAAATGAAAAGAATTCTGGTGAATATATATATTTGTGAAGGAGGCAGCCTGCACTTATAACCTGAGAATCATTTTTATAGTAGTAGGCTGGTGCATCTCCACCTCTCTTTTCTCTTTAAAACAGCTCCCAAAGCCGCAAATCCCACCAGTCTGTCAATCCCAATGCCTTCCTTTCCCTCCCATCAGCCACTGCCAATGTCTGAGGTAACATGGCTCCCAAAATCCCAAGTGCTTTCTCTTTTCTCCCCTCCACTGCAACCACTGATGTCAGAGCACAGTGGTCAGATCTTTGCTAGCTGCCTGAACGGAGGGATTTTCTTCCCCAAACACAAATTATTGTTTTTTTCCAAGCTTTATTCAAATGAAAGCAGCAGTGATACGTGAATTCCAACAAGTGGAACAATTTAGAACCAATATCTCTGTGTACATTAGGATGACTTCCTGTGTCATTTTTTTCTTCACTCTTTGTACACAGGAAGGAGACAAGTCTCTTCTGCAGCCATTCTTGCCAGTCAAGAAGAGAAATAATTTTATTTTATTCTGCTTTAATCAGACCCCACTTCAAGTACTGTATCCTTCTGGCACTTCAATTTAAGAAGGATTCAGACAAGGACAATGAGGATGAAGAGAGGATGAGACATAATTCCTATGAAGAGAAATTGAATGAATTGTGATTGTTTAGCTTTGAGAAAAGTGAGGGGAGATATTGCAATAGCTAAGTACCTGAAAGCAGAATACACAAAATACTGTAATGTTAACTTACAAGTAAAAGACAGTAGGAGGAGTTAATTACCCAGAGAAGTGCTGGATCCCCTTCCCATGATGTATTTAAACAGAATTTAAACAGTTTTCTATTTTACTGTATAAGACTTAATTGGATTTTTGCAACAAGCAAGGGCTTGGACTCAGGGGCTGTGAAACTCTTAATTGTAAGAATATTATTCCATAACAGCCTATATATTTATTTTCATAATAGCCTATTTCACCTCAAGGAGTGATCCACCTCTACCTCTACCTCCACCTCTACCTCTCAGGAAGAGCCTTACAACCTGACTCTGCCAAATGGCCTGAAGTCTCGATGGGGGTGTTCCATACTTGAGGTGGCTAGTGGATTAAGAGACAATTCTACTTCCACCGTATTGTATATCATTTGCTTCTTTAGCCAATTTTATTAATTTTAATTTTAACATTTATAGTTTTAATATTTTGAAGTTTTATACTGTCATTTTTATCTTGTAAGCTGCCTTGAAAAGATGGGCAGCATATTAAAAGTAACAAATAAATAAATAAAGTTATCACAATTCTAGAATGGATATTTATTAAGAAGCATGGTTGGTCTACTGTTTAGGGCACCAGACTAGAAACCAGGAGACTATGAGTTCTAGTCCCGCCTCAGACATGAAAGATAGCACAGTGAATTTGGGCCAGTCACTCTCTCTTAGACCAATTCACCTCACAGGGTTGACATTATTGTAAAAATAGGAGGAAGATATATTAGGTATGCTTGCCACCTTCAGTTATTTTTTAAAAATAAGAAACATGAGATAAAAATAAATACACTTGTTCAAAACACTGTTGTAATGTGTTATTTATTATTAAGTTAATTCATATTATATAGTTTTAGCCACCTGATTAGAAACTACCCACCATTAAAAACACTTGTTTTTAAGAACATCAAAGGATTACACATAAAATATTTCAGGGAGTGTATAGGTTGGATCAATTGGAAACATCTTTAAACTGTCATATTATTTCAAATTATTAATGTTCTAGTAAATCATTTAAATAGGAGTTTTATCAGGATCCACTTGTTTTTGTATTCTGCTTGCCTACTTCTTACAGCAAATCTTATCATTCATGTTGTAATGAAAGGTTTAGTTTATCAGCCAACTCATCAGAAACCCTGTCACTGATTTATTGTTCACAGGGAGTAACTGGTTCCCCAAAATCACTCAATATCTTTCATGCAAGGAATAGGAACAGAACTGATAATATTGGGGGATGAACCCTAGGAGGACTTGTACTGTAAAGCTTTGGGCCCTACTAGATTTCTCAGTAGCCTTCAATTCCATCAATCACTGTGGTATCTTCTGAACTGTAATAGAGTGGGAGCTAGAGGTCCTATTCTGCAGTATCACTCTTTCTTAGTATGCAGTTTCAGTTGGCTTAGTGAACCCTAGGGAGGTACTGCAGGGTTAAGTTCTTTTACCACCACCCCAGCTCTTTTTAAACATCTGCATAAAGCTATTAGAAGAAGTCACCTGTCAGTTCAGGATGAGGTATCATCAGTGTGCTGATGATAGTCATGCTGCTATCCCAGGCTGCAGTGATGATGCCATGGAAATCTTGTCCTAGTATCAAGAGGGTATAAGGGTCCAATTGGGGCAAAAGAGGCTGAATCTAACCCAAATAAGATGGAGTTACATTTCATTCATCAAGATTCTTGGTCGGCTCCAGTACTGCCTCTTGAGGAGAAGCACTACACCAGAGGCTCTGATCTGCCACTTGGGGGGTTCTCCTGGACTCATGTCTACAACTGAAGGAAAGGTAAAAAGTGTTGTCAGAAGGACCTTTATCCAGCTTTGGCTGATACACTGTTTGCAACCCCATGGACCTCAAGAATCTCACAACTATGACTCATGCCCTCATTACAAACCAGTTGGACTACCATAATGTACTCTACATGGGGCTGTCTTTGCAAATCACTTGGAAATTGGTTCAAAATGTGGCAGTCCATTTATTGGCAGATATCAATCACCAACTGCCAACGGATATTTCAAAGTACTGGCAACGACCTATATGGCTTGGTTCCCACCTGCAGGATGCCTTCTCCAACCAGAATCAGTCTGTATTGTATGTTTAGCTCGGGAGAAGTACTTGGTTGCTTGCACCTCATATGTACTATTCTTCTGTTGCAATTGTCTCTCTTATGTAAGAGAATCCCCTTGAAAGTGAAGTACGGCCCTCCTGTTACAGGTTCCAGAGGTTACCTCAGATGGATGGCATTCAGAATTACCCTCTTGTTGCCATATTCAGTATCTTTATTATGTGTTATTTTTTATAGTGATTATACAAAATAATGAGCAAGATTATTATTTCATTATGGTGCTGATTTTTACTGATTACTGATTATTATGGATGTGTTAACTGCTTTTACTGATAATATTTATAATGAAAGCTTAATTACTTATTTATTTATGATTATTAACTGCTGAATGTCTATGGCAGATTTGGCAGCACACAAATGGGATAAGTAAAGGAGTCCTTCCAACCCCACATTTCCATAATTTGAAGAGATCAACAGCAATACCATCAAATAATGCTATAAAATAAAACAATTCATAAAAGGACTAACATTATTTATAAGAAAAAGAAGCTGGAGAACAACCAGCATAAACAGATAAAAGTGCTTAGAACAAACTGGTATTGGATTCTGGCATATCATAGAGATGTCACTCTGCACAGAGCAGGCATCACTAGGGAAAAAGTCCAACTCTACATCATTGCTAAACGAAATCCTGCTTTCTAATTTTGGATGCAGAACAGCTGAAAGGGCACCTTCTACAAATGTCCTCCTCAGTTTATGTATTATGTAATATATAGGGAATTGTATATTCCAAGTAGCACTTCCTATTCAGAGAGGTTCCTTATTAGGCAAGGCAAATCAAGTGAGTTCAGATAAGAAAATATAATCTATTTTTTCTGTTAAGAAAAAATTTAATTTAATTGATGGTCAAGGACATTTAGTAACAGAAGTGACATGTTCTGCTCTTAACTTTTAATATTATACAGAGTCATATTGTCTTTCAGTGAGTTCCATTATCATATTGTTATTCTACTACACAAGAAACCTTAACAGCAATCCATTTCTTTAAACATTTGCACTCAAACCTTTTGTTATTATACCTGCTGCCACTTGCTCCTTAATGTTGGATCTCTGATCGACTGACAATGCCGTTGAATTTGCTGGATGACACCCTGGTAATAAACCATGGAAGAGTCATAATTTCCAAGAAGTGCATATTCTCTTCCTTTTTTAGCATTATCACAAATCTCAGCCAAATTCATCTTCTTTGAGAAATCTACAATACAATGTGAAACAACACAGTAAAAATTAAATTACCCTTTGGCACAAAAAACTTTCTTTCACTTAGAACCATTATTGCAATCTTTATTAAAGTTCATTTTATTGTTTTTATTTTATTGTTTTGTTATACTAGTTATGAAACCTGTCAATCATTCTGCAGAAGCTATACAATCTTTTTTTTTACTTTTAAAATTTCAGCAAGAACTGCCCACATATTTGCTACCACTACTGTATATTCAGAACTAGAAATCTGATTTTCTGAAATAAAAATGACAGCTAAGTTCTTAGAACTATATATTGAACTTTCCCTTCACTTTCCCTCTTCCAAATTGCAATTCACACAATACATCCTTAAGAAATGGATTTTTCAGCTCAACACAGAAAAATCATGGATATATAACTAAGAAATTTGATAATATATAGTGAGTTCTAGCTCTCTGATTCCCCTATCTCTTTTCATTCACTATTAGTTTTACTTTTTTATATTTTGTACTAATTGTATAAGGTTAACATTTCTATTTAATCACTTTTTTTCATTATTTTTTTCATGATTTTTTTTCAAGAATTTTCATGATTTTTTTTCATGAAAATGCTAAATACTAGCAACACAATCTCTGATTGGGGACAGATAATGTTCATAAATATGTGAATGACCTAAATGTTTAAACGATGTATTACACCATGAGGATAAGCAGCTGTAGGATTCATACATAAATAGAGTTGAATGACAAACACTAACAGCTTCTTTCCAAAACTTAACTGTTCAATAAAAATAATCTTTAATCTCCTCTAATCCTAGATGGTAAAAAAAAAAGCCTCACAATCTCAACAGCCAACAAGTTTGTCCTATTTTGTTTGTATATATACTTTAGTCTTAAAAAAAAAGTCTCAAAACATGAGCTACATGTTATTGCAAACAAAGCTGTTTCATTTGAATATACTGAACTATTAATTGCTGGTAGCTGGCGTCTGTTCAGAATATGATCCAAACAAATTAATTCACTTGAGATACAGCAAATCCATATAGTTAATTTCTCAGTGCATGGCTGAAGAAAAGCTGATGTCACCCAATTATATTTGGTATAAGGTGACGTAATTCAACATTTTACAACTTATGTGATACAACAGGAAACATGTTCTTAAAGATTTGTACCTACACATTCCAGCAAAAAAAAGAAAAAGATTCTTGATCTCAGAAAGAATATTATTCATGTCAAGAAATGTTCTAAGTCAGGCTGAGGACCCCAGGTAACCTTTGAGGAATGTGTCAGGGCTGCCCTTCAACAAACAGTGCTAAGACAAAATTAAATCGGGTCAATTATTTATTTATTTAATGGATTACTTTATTTATTGCCAAGACTATCTGGGGTTTACAGTAATAAACATAAAAAATAAAGCAACTACAGCAAATAAATAAATACATGTATAAAATTGTAACATCATAAAACCATAGTTACATCCTAGGAATCAGACCCAACAGAGGGCAGGCAGTTACAGTATAATAATAATAACGATGATGATAATGATGATGATGATGATAAAGTTAGAAGGGGTTTTGGAGGTCATCTAGTCCAACCCCATGCTCAGGCAGGAAACCCTATACCATTTCGGACAAATGGCTGTCTAGTTTCTTCTTAAAAACTTCCAGTAATGGAGCATTCATCACTTCTGGAGTCTGTTTTTTCCCTTTGTGTAAAGACAGATGCGAAAAACGAGTTAAATTGTTCTGCTTTTTCCCTGTTGCTTTTCACCTTCTTGCTTTCACTTTCACCCACTAATGGACCAATTGTTTCCTTCACTTTTTTCTTGTTTTCTACATGTTGAAAGAAGCTTTTTTGTTATTTTTGACTTTGGTCGCAAGCCTTAGTTCATTTTGAGCCTTAGCTTTCCTCACTTCGTCTTTGCAGGCTCCGGTTATTTGCTGATATTCTGACTTAGTTATGTGTCCCTCTTTCCACTTTCTATACTTGTCCTTTTTATCTTTCAATTGATCAGGGAGTTCTTTATATAGCCATGCTGGTTTCTTTTGAGAGCTATTATTTTTCCTCTTTGTTGGTATTGTGCTAGACTGGGCCCTTATTATCTCACTTTTCAAAATTTCCCAAGCCTCTTGTTGTTTTTCCCTGGAGGATTCTCATCCATGGAATCCTTCCCAAACCCTAAGTTTATTGAAATTAGCTCTCTTGAAGTCCAAGATTCTAGTTTGACTGTGTTCTATTGCTTGTGCTTCCATAATGTTGAATTCCAATATTGCATGATCACTTCCTCCCAAGGTTCCAATGGCTTCAACACCTTCTATCATTTCATCTCTGTTAGTGAGAATTAGATCCAAAATGGTATGATTCTTCTCTCTGTATTTTCTAGACTTCTTTCCTGTGACAATAAATGCTGCAATTTGGTTGATATGGGGTTTATTCCCTAGAGCTCCTCCAGAGCTGGGGGGGGGGGAGCAAATGCATGATTGGAACCTAAAAATGTACTTCCCTGAAATCTCGAGCCATGGGAAGCAAACTAATCATTTTCTATCTCCTTGCTCAATGACTACTTTGTTCCCTGTTTGCTAATACTTTCTCCCTGATGTTAGGTTTATTTCTAGTAGTCATTGTATCTTTTCAAACTGGCATAACAGAATTTAGGTAGTTCTCAGTTTGTTAGTGGATAAATTACATGCATATTCCATGTTGGAACTAAATCAACCAACTTAGACTATTACACATGGCAACTAGATCCATGTCAAAAACCTCTCTATCAGCAGAGTTGCATTAAAAGAGTTGTCCCAGTCAATTGCATTCCCTATCACTGGTTCCCATCTGATTCTATTTCTTACCTTACATAAAATTAAGCCTCCATTAGGACCTTTTTCAATGATCAAATAATGTAAATCAAACCATCAAAATCCTTTTCCAAAAATGAAAATTTAAGTTTCAGGGATTAGAGTTCCTGTATACAATACTTCATCGATCTAAACTGCAGAAAATTATGCCACCCATTTTTAGGACACTCCGCAGAATTCTGACAGTGTGATTTGAAAAAAAGATCTGTGATGGCTCCCTCAGATGCCAGCTCGGATGATGAGGAAGAGCCGGCTCCGGGAACATCTGGCAGGGCTTATGGGGAGCACCAGGGAGATTTCAGAACCTGTGGAGGTTCATCGTAATTTCAGACGGTCACTAAGTGACCAGTCACAAATTTAGGATTACTTGTATCAGACAGGACAGATGACCAGAGAAGCCAATTCTCCTTTATTATAAGGTTATATTAATAAAATCTAGCAAGTCTGATAGTACAAATTTCCCACCATCTCTTTTTCAGTCTGAGAAATTGGGGAGGTTCCTGGGTTTCTTTCTCTGCCCATTATGCAGATGTGGGCTACACCCTCTCTTATCTCTTCCCTACTGTGAAGCTTCTAAACTGGTACAACAATAGTTACACTGTTTTCTGTAAATATTAGGCACAGGGAGTCCCTGACTTATGACCACAAACGAGCCCAAAATTTCTATTGCTAAGCAAGGCAGCTGTTAAGTGAGTCATGCCCCATTTTACAACCTTTTAGCCATGTTTATTAACAGTTATTAAGTGAATCATGTGGTCATTAAGTGAATCTGGCATCACCCCATTGACTCTGCTTTCAGAAGTTCCCTAGGAAGATTGCAAATGACAATCCTAGGAACCCAGGATGCTGCAAACATCGTAAATACATGTCAGTTGCCAAACACCCAAAGTCTGACCATGTAACTGTGGGAATGCTGCAATAGTCATAAGTGTGAGAACTGGTTATAAGTCACTTTTTTCATTGCTGTTGTAAGCTTGAATGGTCATTAAATGAATGGCTATAGGTTGAGAATACCTGTACCAAACCAGATTACAACATCAAAAGACTATATAAATATGATTTGGAATCCTGTCAGGACCCAGGATGAGAAAAGGAATACTAACAAATTTTGCTTTAGGGCATCACAGGCCTGGGCACTTGAAAAGAGAAAATTCATATAAAATCCAATTAAGATTCAGATTCAATTGTGTGATATAAATCCAAAATTCCTGTGATAACTTTAGTGAAACGGCAAGATCATATGATAAGAGATGGTTCTTCATAACAGATCTCAAACTATTTAGAAGTTTAAATTCCAAAAGAAAAAAAGAGAAACTCCCCATTCATTGATAATAGATATGAGAAATTTACTTGAATGGATAAAAAGATGCTAATCCAAACTGATGTTTTTTTTAAAAAGCATTAAATCATCCAGAGGTAATAAAACTTATCAACCTTCATTGTTCATGAAATAAATGAAGACCCCCTTTAACTAAGTTGAAAAGAACTAATGTCTCCTGGATTGTAAACAATATTAATAAATATTAATTAGTACTAACACTACTAATCTAAAATAGAAAAGAATTTCCTTCTTTGCGCCATCTTCTCAAGTTTCTTATATTTTAGAAACTTTCAAAAACATTGTATTATGTACACTATGTCATTCCAGGTTCTACTAGTCTAGTTTCTATTATCAGATTTTCTACTATAAACACTAATACACGTGCTAATGAGGATCTTATGCAGCCTGCTTAATTAGTTCATTTTCCTTAGTTTTTCCATTATTCTTTCTTCTACGTGCAAAATAAGCACATCAATCACAATTGCCATACATTAATAACTGTTGTTTAAGAAATGAAGAATAGTAGTTCTCCTCAAGACATGCTGATTTGACATATTCTTTCTTAAAGCAATAATGCATCAATATCCTGATGATGCCCACAGGCCTTAACCCATCTATTGTCCAAATAGCTGGTGTTACCCTGGGGCTGGTAATTTTATGAAGAAGAAAACTGTTTATCAAGGTGACAAAGTAATTTGGAAGGGAAGTTCTAAGAAAATAACATACTTTATGGAGGATTCAGTATGAGAATCTCTGCTTTTTCAAGAAAAAAAATTACATTTTGTGTATTTTAGGATAATCCTGTCATAAAGTATTTCTCAGATGCCTTGAAATATAGGAAATGTGAATTTATTACTTGGGTGGTGCAGGACCATCACTGTAGATTTAACTCAGTTATCCATCTTTATTACTATCCATGGGCCTAATACTAATTAAAGTCAACTCTATAATACTGTTATCAAAAATAATCTCACACTAACAACTGTGCACATTAAAATGCAAACCTACATATCTTATCAAATAATGCCTACAGAAATTCCTACTAAGAAAAAACTCTATCCAGATATTGCACAGAATAGTTAAATTAATGGTATTAAATTAATAATAACTGGTTCACATATATGAATCATCATTTAACACTGCATATATGTGGTAACATGTATCATTGAAACATACAAAAAAACTTTGAAAAAATACATTTCTAGAGGGACTGCTATGATTTTCATTCTTTTGATTACAAAATCCTAAACCCGACATGAATCTAGAGATCTTTTAAATATTTACATTAAATGTTAGAGAAAAAGCAACACAAAATGAATTGGCACATACACAATTATATTAATTGTCAAGTTCTTTAAGATGTCATCTAAGAAATAATTTCAAAATACAGTTTTATTTATAGAACTATCAATTTTTTGTTTTAACAGGGTGGGAAATTGAGACATGAACAATGATCTCTAATAACATACCTAAATTGTATGTTTGATTGTAATGGGATAAATCATAATATAAGCGTAGAAATGGAGCAAAAAAAAATAAGTCAAAGAAATTAAAGACATGAAATAGGAAAATGAAAGGATTCTAGCTAAATATAGCTTATAAAACTGCCATACTCTCCTTGTCTTTCTACCACTGCAAACCATCTCTGCATTCACTCCACCACATCTGTTTTATACATTGCCTTTCTTGACTGTTTGTGAATTCATTAATTTCTTCTAACCACAATTTTCTTCCCTTTCCTAGAACACATGAACTACTTGGGGTAAAACTAGGATACTAGCCAGAATGCACCAAAACTGACAAGTACTGTCTTTAGTTTTAGCAGGGATTGCTGCTGAATTGTCAGATGTACAAGTAAAAACTGATAGTCTACACTCTCTCTATCTTCCTAAAATGCATTATGTGAAAAGTATTATATGTTTGTTGATTTAGATATAAAAAGGTAAATAGGTTTGAATTATAAAGTTTTATTAAAATAGGGAATTGAAATTTGAATGCTGAATACAAAATAAACAGTATGTGATAGATATCAAACAAATCTGTTAATAAATAGAATGCGTAGCAAATGGTTTCCTATAAAAGTGGGAGCAAAATACGAAAGTGTGTTGGTGTCCTGGGTTAATCAGGGTATTTATATATACATATAATATATAAGTGTATTTCCTTCAAATAAAAAGGATCATTTGTGGTGATGTTTTGGTTGGGAAAATAAATGTACATGTATTTGTGTGTGCAAACATTATCATGTTGTTGACAGAGAACTCAAATAATCGGCAACAGATGTTAAATGTATTAAATATGGATCTGAAAATTAATGTACTAAAGACCAATTTAATTGTGTTTGATGGAAAAAGGAGTCAATGAATGCATGTTATAGAAACGTGGCAAAAAACTAGAACAAGTAAAATGCTGGTGATCCATTGTGTGTAGTTGAAAGAGACAAGTTCTTGTATACAAGAAAGTGCTTCTCTCCACTGTACTACATAGAACATCTGCCCACTCTGTTACATGGAAGTGATAGTTGGGTATGTCAGGAGAAACATAAAAAAATTGAATGCAGTGAAAATAGAATATTTAACATGTAGTAAAACAATAAAACATAGGCTCAATAATGAAAGGATGATGAATTGACACAATAGTGAGCAAGCAAGCATGAAAAAAATGTACTGAAGGCCAAATTGTAAACTTGGCTTAGGAAGGAGTGAATACATCAACGGAAAGGAGAAGACAGAAAATAATAGATGGAGTTCATAATATCCTCAAAGAGATGAAACTTTTACAGAACAAAAGGCGATGTATAAAGTTGTACAGATATGGTGAACCAACTGATGGATTACATGCCAGCAAATCATTTCAGACACCTAGTGACCCATGGGGTGAAATAAAAGATAGTTGCAAAGAGAGAAAAATATGGAGCAGATGAATGTTTTTGTGAGACGGGTCATCATATAAATATGATACATAAATTAATAAAAGTGAAAACCAGAATTTCCTTTCTTATATCATGCCTTTAATTTCTTCTGCTCGCTCTTATTCTTTTTATGTATTTATTGCTTCATATAACCTTGATTATCATGAGTGAGCATCATGATTGGTATGTAACTCCTCTTGTCCCCACTATTTCTTTTGATTTTGCAGCCATTGCAATACTGCTCATTAACTTTCTGTCTCCTCACTATCACTGCATTACATTTATCCTGATACCTCTGATCCTGCAGAGCACAGGAGCCTCCCTCAAAGATGCTGCAATTGGCAGCCCCATCACCCTCAGTATACTGTACCATTAGCTGAGAATGGAGGGAGCTGAGTTCCATAGATTTATAGGACGTCAGATTGGAGGAGGAAATCTCAAATGATCAGGCCTTAAAACTGACCCTCCCCCTATCACTAAAGAGGGACTTCTCTGCGCCCTTATAATTGGGACCCAATCCTAGTTACAATTGCTCCGCACCGAACTCCATCCATTGCATATGGTAAAACATGCCTCACCTTTCCTTAGTATAAGCAACTGACCATCGCAAACCTGGTCTCTCCTCCCCCAAAGGCACATGGGAATCGCCGGCATCTGTAGTCCTTTGAAGCCCGCTCTCTTCGAGCAGCCAGACAAATCGACCGCCAGCGAGACTTCAACTCCCATCATGCTTCTCGAAAAGAAAAATATTTTCTTTCCAAGGCCCCTGACTTGCTCACCTGGGGAGGAACGTCTGTTACGAACTCCGGGGGGTCGCGAGTCCCAGCGGGGAGGGCGGGTATCGCATCCTCCGTCTTCGAAGCTAATCCTTGGGTCTAAACTCTAAAGCGAAAAAAGGATGGAGCTGCTGGGCCTACGGCAGGGAGGGGCCACCGCCTTCGCGTGCTCGTGCGTGCAGGGCGCGGAAAAGAGGAGAGGGGCACCGCCTTCTGGGTCCTTCAGCCCGTTGGCGCGAGTGCGGGACAGTAGCGGTGGCGATTGGTTACCATGGAGGCAGAGGGAAGGCGGGATGAAACCTCCGGACGCTCCTCCTCCTATTGGTGGGAGGGAGAGCCGAATCGTTGTGGTGGAGGCGCTTCCCGGCATCGTCCGAGATTGGTTCCCGGGTTTTTTTTTCCCTCGCTAAATCCTTCTTTCTTTCAGCCTGAAGTGAACTCTACTTGTATCAACTTTCTCAAGCCACAACAAAAAAAATTCGCATGTATATGGAAAATTGCTCCTTTTTATTGGTGTGTGAATACACACTGCCTTAAACCATTTGGGGGGTTTTGTGCACCTACCGTATTCAGTTGGAACTTCTTCATATTAAAATAAACTATAACTAAGCACAATATGGGAATGAAATCAGTGAGGCCGCGTTTTGCCTCATGGTTTGTTGAATAGTTCATAGTTGGCTGAGTTCATATGGTACCTTAAACTAGGAATGTAAAAGAAATGTTTATCTGGAGCCCCATTCAAACCAACGGCTTGGATACCATAAAAGCCTTCTCAGTCCATCCATGAGGTGGCATCTGCAGCAAACCAGAATGAGCAAATGCATAAACCCTGCAACAGTTAAACTCATCTTGACATCTAACACAAATACACCTATTCTTTCAGCATTTGAAGATGACCATAAACAAATCCCCTTAATACACTGAGACAGGCATTTACCGCTGGTTCTGTTCTGCAGTATTGGGCTTCAGGGTTTAGTGAATAGATTTCTTGATGTTTTGCTGACAACTGTGGCCTGCATCTTCAGAGGATGATGCCTGCTACAGTTGCTGGTGAAACATCAAGAAATCTATTCTTTAAATCAAGGTCACTTAACCCTGAAATACAACATAGCCCAATCTCTTTAATGTACTTTACCTGTTTATTGCTTCTACCACCACAGACTTGACACTAATAAAAACAAAGTAATTATATTAAACCAAAAGTGAGGTTTCTCTTTTGGGTAGTAGCCACACCAACCTTTGAACAAAATGCCCAGTATGTAATGGAAGTTTCACACTTTGCATCAGGTTTTAATAAACCCACAGGACTGGGATCGCACAGGACACAAAGCAAAACCCAAACAAATTCAAACAAACCACATGATGACTAAAACAATGTGAATACCCATCCTACATTTAACATCAACATCCAATAGGATCATAAGGATTGTGGTAAACTTTCCATGTGATTTACTGTAAAAACATAGTAAAAACATTGTTTCTTTATGGAACTATGTCAATTCTGTACAGTACATGAATAATTAATTCATTATCCATTATTACTTAAATTTCCCCTGAAGCAGAGAATGGAATAATTTTAAATGTTTTTACAAATTATAATCAGGCACTTTTAAATATAATTTTAATTGCTTTTTAAATAATAAAAGTATAATCATACACTTAATAATTACAAATATACCTATTAATTGAAAATAAAATAATAAAATTCTAGACATGTTTATCCAGAACTAAGTCCCACTGATTTCAGAAAAGTGTACACGTCCATCTATCTTGTAGATGGTTTGTATTTACCCTAAGGTTTTCAATAAAATACAATTGCTTGGATTGAAATACAGTGCCAAGCCACAGATCAGAAGCAGGCATTTTTTTCAGCTTTGGGCTATGCTTCCTCTTCCTTCCTTGTCTAGGAACCTCAGAGAATATGACTGGTAATGTTATCATATTATCAAACTGGACAGAAATATTAAATGTTTTCCAGACTGGGAGAAATGAAAAGAGTGAAATTGTTTCCCCTTTTGCTCTTTAAAATCCCTCCAAAGTAGAAAATCATTCCAAATTAGGGCAAAGTAATTCATAAAACATCTGTTATCTGGATTCTTGTGTTGTAATGCATATCGTAGATCTGGCTGGCAGAAGACAAAGAATTGCTTTTTGCAGATCTGTCCTTTAGGTTTCTACCTGGTTCAGCAGGTTAGGACTGGAGGAGAGAGAGGTGTGCCATTTGAGAGTCAGCCAATTTTGAGTAAATAGAACTATGTTTAGGTTGCCAAGACAATTTGAGTTGTTACAGTGCTATCTGCTCTGTTGCCTAATGGGCAGTCGCTGTTCTTGAACTGCCTGAGCTTTGGCATTACCAGACAATTTTTGTCTGGGGGATTTCAATGTCTGTGCTGAGCTAATCCAGAGAAGAAGCCTTTTTGTACTCTGTGAAGACCACAAACCTATCCTAATCAGCTGCTGACTCCCTGCCCATCAACCTGTAGCAGGACCCAGGCTGGGTTTGATATTCTGTTTGGGTGAATCTGTAACCTTGCGGAGTCATGTACCTGCAGTGAACAAGTTAGTCCTTAGTCAGTTTTAGCCTAACAACTGTTAGATATCTCTGCAAAAGGAGATGTCCCATTAATGTGATCTCAGCCCATTAATTGCTTCCTGACACATATCCATCTGGCTCCACTGGAATCTCAGTGACATCCTACATCTGAGACAGCTTAAAATACCATACTCTGAAGTGGTATTTTCCCTAATAACTCACCTTTAAACACTATGTGCTAGCAATAGATGTATGGTATGGTATGGTAATGGTATGTTTTGTGCCTGAAATGTTGAGATTCTAGGTGGTTCTGCTAATTTACTTCAGTCTGGTCTCCTACAAATTCACTTACCACTGTGGAACCAGCTTTCACAGCCACTTTTAACAACAACAACCAGGACAATGATGATGACGATGACGAAGATGATTTGTGAAGCTTTGAAACTGAGCAGTCCCTGTCTGATGTAATGCATATAATTGAAAGTGTGATTGAAAAAATTCAGTTTTTTTTATTTCTGTAGCTTGTATGCCTATAGCAATTCTATTTCCAGTGACTACTGCTCCTAGAAAAGCCCTGGATCCTCATTTTCTCTCTTCACATTGTATTCTTAGGGCAGTGGTTCTCAACCTGTGGGTCGGGACCCCATTTGGGGTCAAACGACCATTTCATGGGGGTCGCCAAACAACACAGTCCGCCATTTTTTCCCCCTTTTCCTTAGCTGTGCTACTCCCTTTTATTCTATTGGCTTTTGAAAGCCAATAGAATAGACTCTCTTGAATAGAGTCTAAGTCTATTGGCTTTCAAAAGCCAATAGGAATTGTCCAGACTGTCTCTGCCCTGCTGAGCCCGCCAAAAGTCCCATTCTGCAAACGGTGCTGTACCAGTTGAGTAGTCCTCGACTTACGACCGGTTGACTAGTCCTCGACTTACGACCGGTTGGGGGTTGCGGCATTAAAAAGGTTGAGAACCACTGTCTTAGGGGAACCTATAGCTGTCACACCAATCCCCACAGAGATTTCTCATCAGAAGTAGTTATGCACTGAATTACAACTTGGATATATAAATTCAGACAATCTCTAGATGGCAGCCAAAAAGTCACAACTCTTTGCAATCTCATAGAGATAAGCAGAGTGAATAATGGATTAGATGATGTGAATAGGTAGTCCTTGATTTATACTTTAATTAAGCCCAGAATTCTAGTCATAAATTCTTACATTTGCTAAGTGGGTCATCATGTGACCAGACCCAACTTTATAATATTTTTTACAGTGCTCCTTGAGCGAACACCATGGTTGTTAAGTGAATGTGGTGGTCCTTAAATGAATCCATTATCCCAATGGGTGTTTTTTGCCAGAAATCAGAAGTAAATGTAAGAAACTGGCAACAAACATTGAAAATCATGATTATGTGATGCAGGTCGCTGCAATCACGTGTAAAAGTGACAAAATACAATTATGTGACTGGGGGTGAATGCAGCTGTTGTCTCTTCAAAATCAGGTTGTAAGTACCTTTTGGGGTCCATCATAACTTAACAATTGCTAAGCAACAGTCATAAAGTCAAGGACTACCTGTAATTTCAAGAATTTTTTTAAAAAGTTCCATCAGTTGATAATACAATGGGAAAGAAGAAAAGAGGAAAAGGTACAGTAATCAAAGCATTGATCATGCCATTTGAAGAGGGATTTTTATGCTGAGTATTGATAGGTGGAATTGGAATTTTCAACAAAGAGAACCCCAAATCACAGATCCTGGAATGCTGCATGTTAAAGTTATAGGGACATATGTTCTGCTAGGTATAAAGGCATACTGAGGGGCAGCAAAATTTAGGGTTACATTTTCTTTTGCGGTCTAGGATGAAAAAGAAATAGGATAAAACATCTGTGTGTATGTAGCCTAAATCCTTAGTGTGTGTTTATATACCTTTAAGTCAATGCTAATCCCTGGAGATTGGACAAATTCCTGCAGTTTTCTTGGCAAGCTTTTGGAAGTGGTTTGCTATTGCCTGTTTCCTAGAGCTGTGAGAAATTGATTGGACCAAAATCACCTAGCTGGCTTTGTGCCTAAGGCAGGATTAGAACTCATGGTTTCCTGGTTTCTAGCCTGGCTCATTAACCACTACATCATATTGACTGCTTACTGCACTTTAGGAATTTCTTACACTGCCTCTCAGTGATGCTGTCAGCACCCTGACTGAACTGTAAAATGCAGAGATATCTGAGCAGTTTTCATAATGTATTGGGCTCTTACTAAAACAAGGATGATCACAGCTAAAAACAATTTCTTTATTATATTCCAAGAAACAAGAAATAAGGTCAACAATTTCTGTATAAACAGAATGGTAGTTCAGAAGTTGGACAGGTCTCAAATTCTCCTTGTCCTCCTGCAGCAGCATCCCATAGAATGAAATACTTGGATTTCCCATTTCCTCATGGTGCTCATTCATCAACCCCAGAAAAAAGGGGAGTCTGATGCAAGGATTCTTCTCCCTCTCCACATCTTTCCCTCCATGCAGTCTCTGGACCATAATAGTTCTCTGTCTGCTATCACTGCTATCTCTGGATCTGAATTTGCTTGCCTTTCCTGGATAAGCTGACAATCATGCCCATTCCTGCCTCTTTCCCTGCAGAGTTTAGATGTGTAAGGTCTGGCTAGCAGGACATTGGGAGCTATGATGGCAGCTGCTACTGTAAAGATAGGGCATCTAGAGAAACAGACTCCACCCTGGAAGCAATTATTGAGAAT